AATCCCGACTTCAGCCCGGGAGGTTTCTAGTACTCGCACACCATCCCTGAAGCAGAACGAACATGAGCGTTAGCAACAATTCAACAAACGGCAGTAGCAGAGACAACATCGACAGCAGCAGAGACAACATCGGCAGCAGCAGAGACAACATCGGCAGCAGCAGAGACAACATCGACAGCAGCAGAAACATCATCGGCAGCAGCACGACCAACGACACCAGTCATCATCCACGAAGCACCACCAACACCCGCACAGCAACTGAACCCGACTCAACGAGAAGTCCACAGAAGCGCCAATGTCGTCGCCAGCTTCTACTCCAACTCCGACGCGTATCAACGCTCACCCGGACATTGCGCTCCTGAAGACATCTGGCACGCACGCACAGGACATCCAAGCAACACAGTATTAAATAACACAATACGAGCATGAGTCCTCGACAAAGATTCGCTACTACTACCCGACGGCAGAGAACTTCAACGGGCACGAGGAACTTGCCTCATCTGCCCCGAAGCCGACTTACCCCATCGACCGTTTTCTTCTCACCACAACCCGAGCGCACCTGCATACGCACCACTCGAGAAAGTAGACAGCGATATCCTCTTCAATCGAGAACCAGGACAAGTCACCTACAATTACATGATAACCTTCATCGACGCCGCCACTCGATACGTCTGGCATCGAAACCTACCCAGCCGCGTCATGGCACTCGCAGCGTTTGCCGCTTGGCTACCGGTAGCAGAGAGGGAGTTAGGAACAGAGCTGAAAAGCTTCCAGTCAGACGGAGGAGGAGAATACACCTCTTAGCGCTTCAAGCAGTACCTGGCGGAAAGGGGAATCAAGCAACTCCTCTCCCTTCCCTACGCCCATCAGCAGCAAGGTGTTGCAGAAAGAATGAACAGGACTCTGCAGAACAGCATGCGCAAACTGCTACGTGGCATGCGGCTACCCAACCACCAGTGGCCTGCAGCAATGGACCATGCTGTCATGCTGCACAACTTGCTGTCGTCGTCATCACTCCCGAACAACGCATCACCGCATCTGCTGTGGACAGGAAAGCAGGGCAGCACAAGAATGTTACGAGTTTTCGGATGCATGGTGCAGTACCGACCCCCAGAAGCACGAGCGGGAAGATTTTCACAACGGGCACATTGGGGACTACACCTCGGCATCGAGAAAAATTACAACGCGTGGAAAATTTTCGATGCCCACTCAAAGGAAACAGTAGCAGCACGTGATGTGATCTTCTACGAGCGACTCACCTTTCAAACGTACCTCGCCAACTTGCACGAGAATCAGGACCCCACAGGTGGTTTTCGTGGTGACCGAGCCTTTGCCTCAGCAGCGGACGAAGCAGACTGGGATGAACAGAACGTCGACAACGCATCGGAAGAAACCGGACCTCTCCCGTACTGCTCCGTCGACGTGCCCATGGACGAAGACAATCCTTGCGACAGTGTCAACGCCGAAGTCTTCTATCACTTCGCCGACAACGGTTACGTAACACCTGCAACAGTCAACACAAACGAAGCATAACGGATTGGGCCAAATTTCATACCCGATCCAGAAGTGGGAGACGAAGCAGCTTATCCCGAGGATCCAACACTCCCCCGATACTTACAGACTGGACTGCAAATCCTCGGCCTCGTCACCGCAGTCCACGGCAACGCACTTCCTAAGGAGCCTGCGACGGTTCAGCAGGCTCTGGGGGGGGAACACAGGGAGAAATGGCGCGAAGCCATGGACAGAGAGTTAAAGGCACTGGAGGAACGCAACACTTGGAAGGTCGTTCCCGCAAGCGTGGCAAGGAACAAGACCATTCTCACCGGGAAATGGGTCTTCCGCATCAAAACGAAAGCAGACGGCACAATCGAGAAGTTCAAAGCACGCTGGGTCGTGCGTGGATTCGACCAAGAGCAAGGACGAGACTTCACCGAGACATTCGCCCCAGTTAGTCGACATACCTCTCTTCGAATTCTTCTTGCCGTTGCCGCCCTGAAGAAGAAGAAACTGCGACAAATCGATGTCGCCAACGCATTTCTCTACGCACCCGTCGACGCCGAAATCTTCGTCGAACTCCCACACGGTACCCACGGAAAACCCAATCAGGTCTGCCAGCTACTGAAATCGCTCTACGGAATCAAACAAGCCTCGCGGCTGTGGCAACAGCACCTACACACCCGACTCACTCGCATCGGATTCCGCCAACTGCCGCACGACCAATGAATGTATCGATTCACTAAAGACGCCGATTACATCCTACTCATCGTCTACGTCGACGATCTACTCTACATCGGCTCCACCGACGACATCACCACCTGGTTCGAAGGGGAGCTACAGAAGGACCTCACGCTCACGGTTTCTTCTACCGTCACCCAGTACCTCGGGCTCAACATCCGCGAAGAAGAAAATGCTATCTACTTAAGCGCCGAGAAATACGCCGACACTATCGCCAAGCGCTTCTCGCTCACACCTACCGCTATCGCCACGCCATACCGCTACACGGCAGGAAGTAACAAAGGAAATTCCGCTCCACTCAAAGCTGCCGGAATACGAGACTACTAGAGGAAACTGGGCTGCCTCCTCTTCGCAGCCGTCACCTGCCGCCCGGATCTATCCTACTCTGCAAGCCAACTCGCTACCTACCTCAAGAAACCCGAAGCAGAGCACCTGGCGGAGCTCGATCACGCACTACACTACTTCGTGAGCACTCCGACGATCGGCCTGACTTACTACAAAAACGAAACTACGACCACGAAACTAATCGGCTATGTCGATGCCGATCATGCCGGCGATTCCGACAATAGGCGCTCTCGCACTGGCTACGTCTATCGTCTCGAGCCTATCGGACCTATCTCCTGGCAGTCGAGCAAGCAGGAACTAATCGCTCTCTCTTCAGCTGAAGCAGAATATTACGCCCTCTGCTCAGCCACCAAGGAAGGACTCTACCTTCACGAGCTGCTGGAAGAAGCAAAGTTAGCCGAGTTACCCAACTTCACCCTATTCTGCGACAACCAATCTGCAATTCGCATCGCCAACAAAAGCGGATTCGCGAACAGAACGAAGCATATCGCTCTGCGATACTTCTTCGTGAAAGACGAGATCGAGAAAGGGAAACTCGAATTATCCTACTGTCCCACGTCCGAGATGGCAGCCGATTACTTGACCAAGAAAATCGGAAAACAGAAGTTCGAGTACTGCATGCTGCTGACTGGACAAGGCCACGTCACCATTAGCGACACTCCAGAAGCGAAGGGGAGTGTTGGGAACAATAAGTCTTAAAGCGCCTCTGTCGTGTCAAAACTCAGGACACAAGCGAAGCAGTCCAAATCGAAGCATCGCGAGTCAACCCTCGGAGGTTAGGGTAACCGCCTGGAGGTTACGCGAAGGTCAAAAGTCAGCGACCTTTGACTTGACAAATACAGCGCGACAGCAAGGACACACAACTGACTCGACATTGAGCAGTTGCCCGAGTCGCACTGTATCGAATCGCAACAGCAAAACAGTTTAATTATATCTATTCGTATTCCTTGTACTCTTATATAAAGCCTTGTATTTGCTTGTTTTAATCAACTCACTTTGCCCTCACATACTAGCGCAAGGTGGTTCAAGGACTTTTCATTCAAACGCTTCCGCTATTACAATCCTACTCAGACTTTAACTCTACAAAGATCCTAGGGCATTTCAGCCCAACAGGCGAGACTCCTTTCCCCCTCGTCAATCGATATTTTTCTCGCTACACTGACTTTGCCGAAATTCTTGTTTTCAAGGTTTCGCCAACACTATTTCAAACCCACATAACTTGATAAATTACCATGCTGACTCCGGGCTTTAACGTACCGTACTGCTCCTTTTTTCTGGTCTGGTTCTGTTTGGACAAGTGTAGCATTCAGCAGCATTGATGCCTACAATCATCTTTACAGTGGGTGGTCTAGTTGAACCAGAAATGACACCTACAACTTCCACCAAGGTCTGTTACCTATGGTGGTGGTTGGTGTGTGCCTGACGATAGGTAGGCTGAGAAGTCCCTGCACATGTAAAGAATCCTGAGGCTCGCTCACTCAGTCAGTCAGTACACAACAATTGCCTTACGGTACCGGTATAAACCTTTTCACAAAAACAAAATATAGGATGGGCCACCCAGTCACCACAAATGTCACAAATGCTATCCTCAACCACCAGAAAGCCTTGACAGGGCCACTATAGAATCCTCCTCATCATGCGACTTCATATCCTAGCATGAGCAGGATAATTGTGACAAGCAATGAAGCAAAAGAAAAAAGAAAAGGAAATAGCCTGTACGGGCCACCGGAGAGAGTACAGTACATAAGCCCCTGAACTTGGCCAATCAGAAGAATAGTACCCCTTGGGGGCAGTGCGGTGATGACCGACAAGCAGGCGAGGCTGTCCGAAGGCCCTCATCCGACAGCAATTATAGCACAGGAAGCAGGAGGTGATCATGCAGGTCACCAGGTGTATTCATCCACACCACACCACATTCCTCTCAACGTTCCACTCTGCCTTACCAGGCCTCACTTGTACACCAAACAGCTGCAGCGCTATCTGAGGACAGCAGCACATGAAAACTAGTGCATCTGTAATGTGCATTAGATGATCGGAGTAACTGGTGTAGCTCGTCTCCCGAAGCATGTCGGCTCATGCACCCTGAATATGTATGTGCCAGCCGAGCCAAGTCATCCCCATCATCCTTCAGCTGACTAGTCATTCCCTGTTCATGATAGTCAAATGCTCTGATTGCCTGACCCTGTCCCCCCCTCCACCTCCCTTCCTCCTCACCCTCATCCAAGCCCCTTCCATCATGAAACTGTTACCTATGCAGTTAGAAGCAGAGACAAGCAGCTGCTTTCCACATCACCCCCATTCCCCGTTCCTCCTTCCACCCCTTCCTCCTAGCCCTCATCACAGCCCTTCTTCCTCCTCGCCCTTGTGAAAGCCCTCCCCATCAGCCCTATGTGACCAGGCGGGAGCACACAGCGAGCAGCTTACCCCAATACCCCCTCTGAAAGCCGCTCCTCCACACGCCATGGTTCTTGCGGCTTGCATCCACTGCCCCCATGACCCACCACTCCAAGCTCTTCCCTCCTCCCTCCCTGTCCCACGTGATCTGCTCTGCACCCACACGCCAGCAGCCAGCAGCACTTGTCGCACTTCAAAGTCTTGCGGATCGTCTTCCCCTGCCCGCCAACTTCCCTCCCCCCCCTTCCCTCCCTTGGTCGGCCCCCCTCCACACTCTCCATTCCCCATGCCCGCCATATGTTGCACTCCATATCTCCACCCATACCCTCGCGGCGTGTCTCCGCTGCTCCTCTCCACCCACTGCTCTCAACACCAGCTCCTTGCACTCTCCAGCATTGTGCCTTGTTATCCACAAATTGGGGTGTGGAGGAACTAGCAAGCACCGCCCTATGCAGGCACCAATATCGCCTGCACTGCACCCCTCCGCATTGCATAAGCAGGCAAGTGCAATCCTACCTACCACTGCCACACATGCCCGCTTCCCTGGCCTGCTCCGCACCAGGAGGGGGGAAGAGGATTGTCCATTGGGTGGTGTGGTGGGGAGAGAATAAAGGCGGAAGAGGAGGCAGAGCAGGGAGAGGGTGTGGGGGAAAATGGGAAGGGGGGAGGTTAATGAAGCCACATTCCTGCTATGAATTCATCAAACTCGCGAGCTGACATAGAGGGCAGGTAAACCAGCAACATCGCTCAAAACTGCAAATCCGTGGCCCGGAGCCACTTTCCACAAGACCGTTAGGGTGGAATGGAAACTCAATCACCACATACTCCCATCACGAAGCACCACCATCAAGCACCACCACCAAGCACCAACCAATTCCAGCTCACCAGTGCGAACGCGTGACCCTGAGCGAATCCCTGACAGCGCATTAGTGAGTCCGAGCCCTCGCTTGCTATCCAGCGCGTCCGGTGTGCTCCCCCGCACGCCCCCTGCCCCCGCTGCAGCCTGCGCGGGCGCCATCCCGCCAGCAGCAGGTGCTCTGCGCGCCCCTGACCCGCTGCCCGTCCGCCCGTATGCATGGCGCTCCGCCTCCGCCTATGGGGGGCGGGGAAAAGGGGAGAGCAGAAGCAATCGCAGGAGGGAGTACGTGTGTTAACAGACAGCATCAACAGCACAAGGGGCTCTGCGCCCCTGACCCGCTTCCCGTCCGCCCGTATGCATGGCGCTCCGCATCGGCCTGTGGGGGAGGGGAAGGAGGGGGGAGGTGGCAGAGAGCAGGAGTGGTGAAGGCCCATGCGATGAACATCAAATCAGCTTCGTGTAGGGCTCTGCGCGCCGCTGATCTGCTGCCTGTCCAGCCGCCCATATGCATGGTACAGGAAAAGGGGAGAGCGGAGGTGAGTCCACACAGGCGAGAACTCACATTGACAGCAGTACCCTATACGGCTCTTCATGTGAGACTCTGCATGCCCCCCGACCCGCCCCCCGACTCCCCCCCCCCTCCCCCCCTGACCCGCCCCCTTACCCGGTGCTTTTCCAATCGCCCTGAACGCATGGCGCTCGGCCGCGCCTGTATGGACGCAGTGCTTCACGTGAGCCTATCAACCCGCTACCCAATCCCCCTCACCTCTTCGTCTGCGAGGGGTATGGGGCTTCGGTGCCGCGGGCTCTCCATGGGGGACCTACGTACAAGCCATACCCTTCACACTTTAGCCTATCAACCCGCTACCCAACCCCTCACCTCCTCTTCAGCATGCGGCATGGGGCTTCGGTGCCGCGGGCTCTCCATGGGGGACCTGCGACGAGCCAAGTCCGCGTCTGGTGGGGCGGATGAGCGGGGGAGGGTGGAAAGGGGGAGGCGGGGGAAGGGGGGGGAGGGGGGGGTGGAGATGAAAGTGAGTGGTTTTTTAACAAGATGAAAGGTGAATGCTCTGAGCTGGACTGATGAATGTACGTGAATCTAGATGTGGGATTGATGTGACGGAAGATGGACGGGAGAGGGTGTGATGGAAGCGAGTAGTGAGGATCATTTGGAGGATCAGTGGGATTCAAGCAAAAGAGAGACATGTGGGTGGAAAGAGGGAGGAAAGGAGGGAGGGGGGGGGGGGGGGGGAGGGGGGGAGGACGGGGGGAGGGAGGGGGGAGTGGTGGGACAATGGAAAGCAGTTCGGGAAGTAAATGACGTAAACCAAATAAGAGAAGTGAGAGGAGGTGTCCAGCCTGAAGCTAAATCAGACCTGGTGCATTGGCAGCGGGTGATGGCGCTGCTGCTGCCGCATTTGCACCCTGCACAGGCGAGCACACACGAACCAAGCGAACACCCAAACCGAGCATTTTCATACAAGCATGCATGCACACACACATCCCCCCTCACCAACCAACCCCCCCCCCCCCCCCCCCCCCCCCCCCCCCCCCCCCCCCCCCCCCCCCCCCCCCCCCCCCCCCCCCCCCCCCCCCCCCCCCCCCCCCCCCCCCCCCCCCCCCCCCCCCCCCCCCCCCCCCCCCCCCCCCCCCCCCCCCCCCCCCCCCCCCCCCCCCCCCCCCCCCCCCCCCCTTCCTCCCACACACATACACACAGCCCCAACACACGCACGTAGGCCCAACAGACGAACAGGAAAAAGCACACCGAGAAAAACGTGAAATGAATGTTTGTAGCATGTGGGGAAGCCACGTAAGACAGAGCGCATACACTCCCTTCATACAAAAATGCTGGCTGGAATCACCCAGCCAGAGACAAGTCAAGTTGGCCGGAGAGAGCTTGGAGCATATCAGAGCTTAGAGTTGAGAAAGGAAGCAAAGATGGATGAAGAGGAGTGCGTACCATCATGCGGGTCGGGGCGACAGAGGCCTGCGACTGCTGGTACTTGAGAATGGTCCAGTCAAACACGTAGTCGAACTGGAAGCCTGGTGGGGCGGGTGATGGCGCGGTGAGGGGGGGGGATGGCAGGGCAGGGTAGGGCGGGTTATGGTACGGTGGGGTGCGGTGTGTGATGGCATGGCGGGATGGTGTGGGGTGATGGTATGGTGGGGCTGGGTGGGTTTGGCAAGCAGTAACAAATGGACGGTCCGACACGGGCAATGCCTCAAGCGAACTGACGCCTAAATCCCCCACCGTACTCGCAACTTCGCGAATGAAGAGGTCGCGGAAGAGGCGTTTGAGGTATGCATAGTCGGGCCTGTCAAATCAACCCCACCGACCCCCCCCCCTTCCCCCCCCTCCCACCCTCGCACCCCTTATCTTAGGCGCCTCAGAAGCCCCCTCACGCACCTTCGCGAATGAAGAGGTCACGGAAGAGGCGTTTGAGGTACGCATAGTCGGGCTTGTCGTCGAAGCGCAGCGAGCGGCAGTAGTGGAAGTAGGACGCGAGCTCCGTGGGATAGCCCTTGCAGAGCACCTGGAGGCGGGGTGTGGGTGGAGAGGCGGCAGCCAAGAGGGAGCGGACCGACAAGTTTTCAGGAAAAATGAGCGGCAGTAGTGGAAGTAGGACGCGAGCTCCGTGGGGTAGCCCTTGCAGAGCACCTGGTGGCGGGGTGCGGGTGGAGAGGTGGCAGCCAAGGGGGAGCGAAACGACAGCTTTTCAGGAAGGAAGGGTGGCAGTAGTGGAAGTAGGACGCGAGCTCCGTGGGGTAGCCCTTGCAGAGCACCTGGGGGACGGGGACAATGGTGGCGGAACGGAGGGATATGCGCCACGCGGGTCAACTGAAGTAGTCATGACTCAACGTATCATAATATGGGAATTGACGCAGCAACACACCTCAATGGGAGTAGACATTTTCTTCTCGCTAATCTTCTCGTACTTCTGCTTCTTGGTACCCGCCTTTAGACCCTGCCATGGCAAGCTGCACAACACAACACACAAACAAACACGTGCCTCAGTAAACAGCCGTCCCACAGAAAGAGCTACCTCATACAAACACACTCCAAAACAACCCAGCAGTGAACCATATACCCGAAGGAAGCATCTTAGCATGATGCAGAAAGGAGGATCCTTGCAAAAGGAAGGCACTAGCGGAAAGCATAACCCTAGTAAAAAACGGGCCCTGGTTTCTCAGGCAATCGAACAGCCAGACGCGCACCTTCCTCGCAGAAAGTACATGAGCACGTAGCCCAAGGACTCCAGGTCGTCCCTCCGGCTTTGCTCTGCCCACAACGTTCACACGAGCACAGACCCGGGGACATGAGCGTGCAAGAACAGTGTGTTATTTCGCATGGTGACGAGCGTAAGAGACCAGGGTCGAGGATGAGAGGAGAACCACGGCGAGGGGCGAGGGGGGCGGGGCGGGGCGGACGGGGGGTGAGGGTAGAGCAGGGCCGAGGGGCGTCAGGCACATACCGATGCCAAGGTGTGTGTTGATGCTGGCGTAACGAGCCGTGCCCGTCAGGTTCTTGTTCTCTCTGCACCACGGCACCAGACCAGGCACACCACGCACGCACACCAAGCGAACGCGGCCAAGAGCGGGAGGAGAGGAGAACGAGGCCAAGAACGGGAGGAGGGGAGAGACCAAGCGGGGAGAGGAAGCGGGAGAGCACACGCGAAGCAAACCAACATGAGACGAGCGCGGGTTAGCGTGGATAGAGAAAAAGATGCAGGGGCAGGGCACCGGGAGGGGGGGAAGGTGGGGGGTGGGAGGGGGGATGCGATGGGTGGGGGAAGAGGATCTGGCGAACCGCAAGCAAGGGGAGACGAATTCGGAAGGAGGAGGGAAAGTGTAAGGGGATTGGGGCGCGAGCGCGAGACAGAGTGGAGGCAGAGAGGACGCAACGAATCTCTCCCAAAAAGGATGCAAAAATCCCGCGGAAGGATGTAGTGAGGACGTAACGACGCATACTAGACTCGCGGACACACGGACGCACCTGTAGGGGATGTGCTGGTGCGTGGTGGGGTCGCGGTACTTCTTAGCGAGCCCGAAGTCAATGATGTACACCTGGTTGGCGCGCCTGCCCAGCCCCATGAGGAAATTGTCCGGCTTGATGTCGCGATGCAGGAAGCTCTTCGAGTGCACGTACTCCACTCGATTGATCTGAAGGAATAGAGAACCAGCGGGGGTCAAACTGTTCAACTCAGACGGAATTCGAGCTGTTACAACTATCCGCCTTCATGTCGCGGTGCAGGAAGCCCTACGAGTGCACATACTCCAGTCTCTTCTGCAGTAACATTGATCTCACCCACTTTCAACCCATCCTGTCCTATCCCCTCCCCTCGTCTCCACTCCGCCCGCTTCGAGCATCGCGAAACATCGAGAGAGTGCCAAAGTTCGACAAACGATGACGATATGCGCCCTGTCGTACTCCGTTCGTTCGCGCAATCTTGGGATTCTCCGCGAACCACCAGGCATGCTTCCACTCCGCCGCGTCACTCTCCAACTACCCGTACCCGGCTGTCCGTGATTACTGGACCGCTACCAGACGAGCGGTCAGCTGCTCGCTATTGTAGGTACAAAGGTCAGTTTCAGGAATTCTGGCCACTATCCCAACTACCCGTCGAGAGTCACTCCGACTATCATTGATATACTCGACGACGTGAAAAACACCCGGCAATTGATTCGCGAGAATGAGAATGGTCCAAGCAAATACTTCTGGCGACTGCTCGGGTTGACTCAGGTCACCTAAACACCCACCAGCTGATCCGCGAGCATGAGCACGGTCTTGAGCGAGAACTTCCTGGCGCAGAAATTAAAGAGGTCCTCGAGACTGGGCCCGAGCAGGTCGATGACCATGACATTGTAGTCCCCCTCCACGCCGAACCACCGGATGTTCGGGATGCCGGCTGCGATAGCAGCATCGAGCGAACGCGAAAAGAAGGAGAGACAAATGCACGAAACGTGCTATCCACACGTCAACAATGAAATACAGGCGCCGGTCTATAAATTTAAGCAGTATCCGCATAGCGTCGCCGAAAAGAGAGACATGGAAAATATACGAGAGGCCGGAAATTATGGGTTTGGGGAACACGCACTTCCTCCTTGAAGAATCCTGTACAGCTTCGACTCGTAGAGTAGCTGGGGATGCTTCGTCTTGGTCGATTCCTTCACGAAAAATAGCCACGGAATCCAGCCGTCAGCGCGACAGAGAAAACAAATACTACGAAGTGAAGTCGGAAACTATGGATTGCTAAGTGGTTACCAGCTTTATGCCGACTTCTTCATTGGTCTGAACGTTCGTTCCTGTTGACCACAGAAGTAGGGACGAGGTGACGGCAGAGGAGGGATGGAAAACTTAAGACCGAGAACGACACGAGGCTTGAACGAGGAAAATGGCGACGTGATGAGGACAGCTGACGGCTGAACAGAAGCTCACCGAGGTAGATCTCGCCGAAAGATCCGCTACCGATTTTTCTCCCTAACCTATACTTGTTCGCAATTCTGGGCTCCATGCCCGAAGCTTGCAAGGGTCGTTCAAACCTAAGCTACGGTCGTATGAAACGAACTCTATCGCCTGTCCACTTTCTGGTTGCTAGGCGCAAGTCCTAAACTAATTCTACGTCCAGGGCCCACAGAGCAGGGCCCTGAACTAGGGTCAGGTCGTCCTCCTCGTTCCCGCTGATAGCTACGAACCTACGTTCAGCTAAACTTTAGGTCATCCATGGACTGGATGAGCTAACTGCACAAAAACTTCTAGCACGATAAGAGCAACCTGCTAAATCTGAAACGGACTTCTGAGACCCTAGTACAGTAGTTCCTCCTAGGCCTACCAGACTGGGAAAAAATAGGATGTGCTGAACAGGATGGTGTACGAGGAGAGGGAAGTGTCAAGTGGAAGGACAAGGAGGGAGGGGAAACGGACGAGGTAAAAAAGATGAGGTTGGCCAAGGACAAGGCGATTCATGGTGGTCTCTTGCTGGTCACCTGGTGATGATGATCCCAAGGTGGAGGTTGTTCGCAGCTAGGGAAACCCTATTGGCGATGCCTTGTCGATTAGTGCAGGCGAAGGAGTTGACTGGGGTGTGGCCAGGAGCGAAAACAGTACGAGGGTTACTTTCTGTTGCGACCAGGCGACGAGAAAGTGGTTGGTGCCTGGGTTTGCATGTGACTGTTTGTATGCGTGGCTGAGGCGTGATGCCGTGGGCTGTATGCATGGCTCACGCTTTCCCAAACTACGGCAGGTTTGGGACCATATGAGCTTGAGGCTAGGGTTGAACATGATTGGCTCAGATTCTGGTCCTGACACAAGATTTGCGAAGAGGTCGTTTTGTGAATTCGTCGCACATGCTCGCGAACATTTTTGTGGGGTCAGCCAGGAAACCCAGGTCCATCTGCGACTCGGTGTTACGGCTGTCGCGGAATGTCGCGAAGCGTGCAATGACCCCATGAATTCGGGCAGGATGGAACACCCGTTCGGTGTCAGGAGCAGAAATGACCCCTGGACGGTGAGACGTTCACGACTGACCCCGAGTGAACGTAGAAATGGCTCCTCGTGTCGAATCTAGTTTCAAGCTGCTGCTTCAGCACTAGCGACTTCTAACTTCAGGAGCCTAGGGGATCGCTCCGTCTCGAAGAACTGAGGATTAGGACGAGAGATACAGCAGATTTACGGCTGGTGGACACACACACTAGCTATCAAGCTTAGAGGATTGCTGCAAGAATCGCGAATTACTGTAGTTCACGGGATCGGTGGCACAAAGGAGCGGGAGCATTTCGATAAGCTTGTTACAGTCATTGCGAAGTTGTATTGTCGATCACAAGCTCATGGCGGCCGCAGCGGTGCGTCTGTTGCGGGAGGGACGGATCGATGGCATGGAGGCACCGACGGTGGTGCTAAGCGACACGTGTCACGTTCTGGGTGGCTGGCAGATCTTGCGCCACATGACTGAGTCCCTGGTTCGAGCGATCCACTGCAATCGCGCACAGGCAAGGTGTGTGTTAATGTCTGCACGCGTGACGTTTGCGTGTGTGTTATGTGAGAATGTGTGTGATGCGTGCGTGTGTGTAGTGTGTGTGTGTGGGGTCTGTGTGCGTATCTTGTGTCCATTCCCGCCATTCCCCCTCTTCCACTTCCCCCCCTCTCTGCCCGCAACCCCCTCCCAGCCGAGCAGTGCTGGTCTTGGCCTCACCCCGCGCTGCCACAACCGCCATAACCACCGTCCATGGCGCTGCGGGGGGCCTGTGCGCGTGCCATGGCACACTGATAAACTGCTGCTCTGACCCCATGGGATGGGGACAGCCGTTTCAGTCGCCCTGTAGTCACCCAGTCAATCCCAGCGGCGACAGTGAAGGCAGTGGCAGTGCAGGCAGCAGCACAGCGGATCCGATTGTCAGCAGCTGCTGCAACGTGTGGGACCTGCAGTCACTTGAGCAGCGCATTCTGTAAGTTCCCATGCCTCCGAAGCGGCCTTATGTAGTATCTGTTTAACCATCACCATCCCTTCCATCGTCCCCCATATACTCACACCCCGATGACCTCACGCGCCCCCATGTCCTCACACCATGATGACCTCACAGCCACATGTTGTCACACCCTCATGTCCTCACACCCTACGTCCATCACTTGCACTCCAGTAGGGCAGCCAAGCCGCAAGCCGCCGAATCACACACAGGCGCGCAAGGGAGCCCTCCGTCCATTGTGTTGCTAGACTCGGTAGGTACGTCATCCATGCCATTCGTTTGCCGGCTTTTGAGACGTCTTAAGTTCATTCTAGACTCAGTAGGTACGTCACTGATGCTGCTCACTCGTTTCGGCTCTTTCTTGCGTTCCTCACTCGTTTCTCTTCCCTCCCTCCCTCGGATTTCCTCAATCCCACTTCTCCTTGTATTCTCGCTCTCCCTGCATTTCCCCTCTCTCCATACCATACCATGCCATGCCATCCCACCATTCTCTCTCCATACCATGCCATGCCATCCCACCATTCGCTCTCCATACCATGCCATGCCATCCCACCATTCCCTCTGCCTGCCATGCCATCAGCTGGACCCCTTCCTGCGCCACAACACGCCAGCAGCCCTGCTCGCCATGATCGCACGACTGCAGTGGCATGGTAAGGGGGGGTGGGAGGGAGGAACGGATCATCAGGGAGGCATGCTCGAGCACGTTGCGTGCAGGGAGCTGCTATAATGTCACGATTAGGGAGCTGTTATAACGTCCGTTCTTTGATGTGCATCTTCATCATCATGCTTGTTTCCCTCCCCTGCCTTGCCACGGATTGTACTCTTCCTTCATCCACTAATCCGCCCATTGCTCCCTCGCACAATCTGTTATCTGTACTCCTTTTCTCCCCTCCCTCTCTCCCTTCCAGCCTCAGTCTCAGGACTCCTCCTCCTCTCCCATGCTGACGTCACCCCGCCAGCTGTCACCTCCTCCTTGCGCCACATGGCGCACGCACTCCTCTCCCTGGATCCACATCCCGGCCACTCCCTCCTCCCTCTCTCCCTCCTCCTCTCCTCTCCATCACTCCCTCATCCCTCCTCTTCTCATCACCCATCGGGAAACTCAGTTGTCACTTCTGGCATGAGTAGCTCTAGCAGCAGCACAGCTGGCACTGGTAATATCGGTGGGAGGGGCAGCAGCGGCAGGAGCGAGAGTGGTGGCAGCATGGGTGTGGAAAGTATGGGAGAGCGGCACGTGCTACCGGGAGGGATACTGGTGTTGCAGCAGAAGAGGGCTTCGGGGAAATTCCGAACTGCGGTAGGTCTGTCTCTTTGGCGCTGTCTGGCTGTCTGGTCTGCGGTAGGTGGGCTGTCTGGTTTGCCCCAGCCAGAACAGTGGCGTCTTCGAAGCGTGTCTGACTGTCTATCCGTCCGTCCGTCAGTTTGGCAGCCCACCTCTGGCACAAGGGCCTGTAACCTCTCTCTGCTCTCCCCTTCCCTCTGTTCACTCGCCTCCGCTGCAGCTTGAGGAGTTTCATTTCGACCGGCAAGGAGCAGTGCACATAGATGTACAGACCAAGGGCTCTGTGCGCACACCACAGCAGCAGCCCACTTTCCCCTTGTGAATCACGTGTGACTGTTCCTCTCTCCTTCCCTCCATTTACATCCGCTGCAGCTTGAGGAGTTTCATTTCGACCGGCAAGGAGCAGTGCACATCAGCGCACAGACCAAGGGTTTTGTGCGCACACCGCAACCACCCACCGCGCCCAGTGAATCTCCTGAGACCGCGCCTCAACCCACAGTCGCTAGCGACAGCAGGAGAGACACCTCTAAAGTACCTCCTGCAAACGTATCCCTGCCAGAGCAGCAGCCTGCAGAGGGGGCACACAGAGGGGCGACAGGGAGAGGGGAGGCTGCAGGCGTGGAGCCGATCAGGACGATTGGAGATCGGGCGCCAGAGGTGAGAATGCCAAATGCTTTGCATGCTGTAATTTCTCTGCATGGTCAGAGGATTTTTATTTATTCTCTCTGTCCCCGCCCCCCCTCTGTTACCCTCCCCATCAGCAACTCTGAGACTCCTTCGCCGCGCTCCTCTTTCTTCTCCGCTGCAAAGTTTGTCAAACTCTCACGAATGTTCTGCAACCATGTGTCATGCTCCCCCCACCCATCATCAGGTCTCGTTCCGCTTAGAGCTGTCTGAGGAGGAACGGGCTGCAAGAGAGAAAGTGGTGCTGCCTTATGAACACCGAGGTTGGTTGCAACTTCTCCCAACCCTGCCCAAACCTGCCCAACCCTGCCCAAACCTGCCCAACCCTGCCCAACCCTGCCCCTCCACTTTGGCGCTCGAGTTTCTTGTTACTAGTTTCTTCTTGTATTCTTGCCTCTCCTTATTCTTTTCTCTATTCCGTCATAACTCTGAAGACTGTTGGTGTCATTTCCGCCCTTAACTGTCCTTGCCCATTCCTCAGGCGAAACTGGCCCAATCAAGATATACGACGGGAGAAGGAGCCTTGCGCCAAGCCACGTCAAGGAAACAGCAAAGGCTCATGGAGAGTTTTCGGTTGGTGGTGTATCGGCTCGTATGGTGGAACTTGCAGTGGGAGGCACTGCGGGCGATTGGAGCGAAGGTGGAGGTGGTGGTTTGATTCATTATGAGCGCGATTCGGATGACGAATACCCAGATTCGGATGAAGACCCCGATGATGATCTTGATATATAGCATTTGTTGTATGTTGGTCTGTGCTACGATTGATCAAAATTGTGCGAAGCAATGCAATACCTTAATTGTTATATGCAGCTGTGCAGAACTAATTTGTCAAGTTTCAGCTGAGTGTCCACGTAAACGAGGCGCTGTATAAGCATGCCCTCGTCTGGTTGCTTCCTGGTTGTAGAAATGCTTCGCTTCCCTGTCAGCCATTTTCAGAAGCACATCTTGGAATGGAACTCCGTTGCACGCTTCTGGCTATGGCGGTCCCTGCTGCACTCGGGTCGGAAATCTGCAAGCTGTAGTGGTTCTGACGACTAGTAGCAGGCAGCTCGATCAGATGTATTATTGCCTTGAGCGCAGCCTGTAACGAGGGACGTAGTGGCGGAAACATCTTATGGAACGGATCGTTTTGGCGGGAATCGCTGGTGGCGGGCGGAGAGTGATCGGATTTTAGGGTTTCGATTCGCTGATACCAGGAAGGCTCGAAGCACAGGGATCGCCCGCGTTGTTGCGGCGCGGTCAGTCGCCCGCATCCCGTGCCGCACGCGAGCGAACGGCGTAGCGCTGTGTCTCTGCTGACGTTGCTTGACTCGGGCTGAGAAGTCTCGCTTAGTTACGTTTCAGGGCCTCGCTTCACCACACCGATTCGCGCCGATAACTCGCTGATTCCGTCGCTGAATCATCAGAGCCCCGTGTTCGTTATCGTCTCAATCCGCTGGGCCTCGTAATCACCATCGATCTCCGCCACGCGTCGCAATGGACGACTACGATGCTCTCGAGGATTTCGACTTCGAGCAGACGCTCGGCCCCGGCCCGCTTCCGCCGTCCGCGCCCGCCTTCAGCACCGCTGTCCCCGCCTCCGCGCCCGGCGCGGCGGCATCCGCGGAGCCGAGCGCCGGCCCGGGCGCAGCCGGCGGAGCGGGCGGCGGCAATTTCGGCGCGCGGGCCGATGGGTTCGGCGGGGGTTCGTCGCAGCACCCGCAACCCCCGTACCAGCAGCAGCAGCAACACCATCAATTCCCGCAAAGTCAGCAGCATCAGCAGCAACAACAGCAGCAGCAGCAGCAGCCGCCACATCAGCAGCAGGCACACGACATGGGAGGGGGGCACGGGGGAGGCCCGCCGCCTGCCGGTTTCCGGCGGAATTACCGGCAGACCGTTTGCCGGCACTGGCTGCGCGGGCTGTGCATGAAGGGCAACGACTGCGGGTTTCTGCATCAGTACGACAAGAGCCGCATGCCGGTTTGCCGGTACTTTGCGCGGTGGGGCGAGTGCAGGGAGCTTGACTGCGTGTACAAACACACCAACGAAGACGTCAAGGAGTGTAACATGTACGTTACGGTTTACTTGTTAAATGACGATCAATTGCGCCTGTTGTGAAGGTGCTTCAGTAAACTCAGCAGTATCCGTGATGATTTCGACGGTTGTGACTGTTGTCTTGCCTTTTCAGATCTCTGTATATATGTTGTGGTGCGCACCAGCTTAGGGTATCCGCGGGATTTAGGCCATATGTGTGTGCTCTCTGCTTCTGTTCAGACGAGGCAGGAGTTGGGATTGTTGCGATTGATTCTTTGTAACGTATGCATCTATTATTTGTTGTCAATATTCCTTCCTGGTAATAATAAAATCATTCCTTTTGCACCTCCTGTCCGTTTCAGCCAGAATCTTTTCAGACTGTTCTGCCCGTGCCTTTGGCGCACACATGGCTATTCAGTGCAAATGATTGCGTGCATTGAATCGTTAATATTCCTGCATTTCCTCTCGTGCATATCCTAATTCTGCTTGCGGTTTCCATTGCAAGCAAGTTGGCTTCCCCTTACAGGCCCTGCCTGTTCTACCCTGCTCATAGCCTCATCTTGCATGCGCCCTCAATTGCTTCTTGCTATATGCTCATTTGACCGAAATTGTGATCCAGTGTTCTGTGCTGTAAACAATATCCTTTACCATTCATCCCTGTCACCCATAGTCCACCCCCTCCCGCGCTCCCCCCTCCCCTTCCCCTTACCCGTCCCCCGCCCCAGGTACAAGCTTGGATTCTGCCCGAACGGCCCGGATTGCCGCTACAGACATTTAAAGCTGCCCGGCCCGCCCCCTCCTGTGGAGGCCCTAGCTGAAAAGTTTCAGCTGCAGCTGCAGCAGCGCCCGCCCTTCCACTTCGCGGGGGGGATGGGGGGCGGGGGAGGGGGCATGGGGGGAGGCATGGGCGGAGGCATGGGGGGAGGCATGGGAGGAGGCATGGGGGGAATGGGGATGGGGAATGGGGGGTCAATGGGGGGAGGCAACAAGCCTGTGCGGTTCTTTTCTGGACCTGGGGGGGTGGAGCAGCAGGGGGGCGGGGGGATGGGCGCACATGGCGGAGGGGGGATGGGGGTAGCGGGAGGCATGGGGGGAGGCATGGGGCAAGGCATGGGGCAAGGGGGAATGGGACCAGGGGGGAATATGGGGTCTGGGGGAGGAGCAGGTGGGGGTATGGGCGGAGGCGGGGGAGGGGGAATGGGGGGAGGAGGGGAGATGGGGCAAGGGGGGCACATGGGGCAAGCAGGCGGGGGAGCAGGGCCTGCTGGGGGGATGGGCGCAGGCGGAGGGGGGATGGGGCCAGGCGGAGGGGGAATGGGGCAAAGCGGAGGGGGAATGGGGCAAAGCGGAGGGGGAATGGGGGCGGGCGGAGGGGCAGGGGGTTCAGTTGTGAATCAGCAAGCGCAGCAAACAGGGCAGCAGCAGGGGCAGCAAGGGGGGCAGGGGGGGCAGGCGCAGCAGGGGGGACAGCAGCAGCAAGGGGGAGGAGGGATGCAAGGGGTGAGTAGAACCACGGGCGAAGGGGGAGCAGAGGGCGCACCCACAGCGGGAGGGGGAGGCGGAGGCGGAGGCGGAGGGGGAGGGGGAGGGGGAGGGGGAGGGGGAGATGTTGCCAATGGGGTGGGGAACGGAAGGGACGGGGCAGAATCAGGGGGTGGGATGGGCGGTATGGGGACTGCTGAAGGTGGTGCTGCTGCTGCTACTGGTGGGGGTGGTGGTGGTGATGGTGGTGGAGGAGGATTTGGGGGCGGAGGCGGGCCGGCGCACATGCTAAATCAGGCAAACGTTCCAAATCAGGCAAATGCTCCAAATCAGGGGCATATGCAGCAACAGCAAGGGATGGGGGGTCAATCAGGAGGAGGGATGGGGGGAGGGGGAGGGATGGGGGGAGGGATGGGGGGAGTGGGGATGGGCGGGGGAGCAGGAGGGATGCACGGGGAAGGGGGGATGATGATGGGGGATGCGTCAGCAGCAGGCATGGGAGCAGCAATGGCGCCATCTCCGCCCATGAGTCTCGCCATCCCGCCACCACCCGGCACAACCAGGTGCGTGTGTCGTTGCATGCGTGTGCTGGTGTGTGGTTGTGTTGTGTGTGTGTTAAGTGACAAATATGTCAGCTACTCAGCAGCAGGCGTTGCATCGATGGCGCCCTCTCCGCCCATGGGCCTCGCCATTTTCCCGCCACCGGGGGCAGAACCAGGTGTGTGTGTGGGAGCAGTGCACCCACTTGGGGGTGTTGTGATAAAAATATTGGTTTTGATATGTCTCACAACCAGGTGTGTGTGTGGGAGCAGTGCACCCACTTGGGGGTGTTGTGATAAAAATATTGGTTTTGATATGTCTCACAACCAGGTGTGTGTGTGGGAGCAGTGCACCCACTTGGGGGTGTTGTGATAAAAATATTGGTTTTGATATGTCTCACAACCAGGTGTGTGTGTGGGAGCAGTGCACCCACTTGGGGGTGTTGTGATAAAAATATTGGTTTTGATATGTCTCACAACCAGGTGTGTGTGTGGGAGCAGTGCACCCACTTGGGGGTGTTGTGATAAAAATATTGGTTTTGATATGTCTCACAACCAGGTGTGTGTGTGGGAGCAGTGCACCCACTTGGGGGTGTTGTGATAAAAATATTGGTTTTGATATGTCTCACAACCAGGTGTGTGTGTGGGAGGGGAGAGAGGGAGGGAACGCCCACCTTGGGGGTGCTTTCTTTGTCTCGGTGATGCTTTCTGCCTTGGTGGTTCTTAGACATGTTTTGCAATTTCCCCCCTTTCAGGTACTTCATAGTGAAGAGCAACAATGTGGAGAATCTAGAGCTGTCGGCGCAGAGGGGCATGTGGGCGACTGAACCAGTAGCCCCTCCAACAACCTCCCCCTTCCCCTCCCTCCCTCTCCACCCTCCTTCCCACCCCTACCCCTGCAGGTACTTCATAGTGAAGAGCAATAATCTGGAAAATCTGGAGCTGTCAGCACAGAGGGGTATGTGGGCGACGCACCGCAACAACGAGGGGAAGCTGAACGAGGCGTACGAGTCGTGTGACAGCGTTATTCTGATCTTCTCCGTGAATGAGACGAGGCACTTCCAGGTGAGAGGACAAAGCACAGCACAGGTGGCACTTGCAGGTGGGGAGGGCTAGGGGGTGCAGAGCTGGTTAAAGCTTAATGCGGAGTACGACGAGTAGTGTGACAACGTTTTCTTGGCCTTCTAGTGCTCACTCTCACCCCCCTCCACACTCCTCACCCTCAATCTCACCCCCCTCCACACTCCTCACCCTCACTCTCTCACTCCCCTACCCACACCCTCTTTTCCACACGTGCAGGGCTGTGTATTGATGATGTCGCGCATATGAGCGGTGGTGGGGGGAGGACCGTTGAAGATCGAGTATGTCGTCTCGCCTAGTGCCTATTCTCACTCCCCTTTCCACACTCCTCACTCTCCCTCCCCTCCCCACACTCTTTCTTCCATGCGTGCAGGGCTGTGCTCTAATGATGTCACGCATAGGGGCCGTGGTGGGGGGAGGGCCGTGGAAGTATGCTCAGAGGATGGGCAGCTATGGTCAAAACTTTCGTATCCGATGGCTTAAGGTGAGGGGGGAGGGGAGAGGGGAGGGGAGAAGATTGAAGAGGGGAGAGTGTAATGGGGGTTACACTGAGTATGCTCAGCGGAGGCAACTATGGGTAGAACTTCCGCATTCGATGGGGTGAGGAGGGAGAGAGAGGGGAAATTGGGGTGCACTGAGTAAGCACAAAGGAGGCCACACGCCATCTGCGCAAACAGTGCAGCGACGATCAAATCTTGATAGGGCTGTTTCTCCATCCCCTGTTACTCCTCTGCTCTCTGCGTCATTTCCCCCACTTTCCCCTCCACGTACCAGCTCTGCGAGCTCTCGTTCAACAAGACACGCCACCTGCGCAACCAGTACAACGACAACCAGCCCGTGAAGATCAGCCGGGACTGCCAGGAGGTGGAGCCATCAGCAGGCGAGCAGCTGACTGCACTGCTGTACCGCGAGCCAGACGCTCCTTTGCTGGTATGCTGCTGGGCGCTCTCTGTCCCCTTTCTTCTGCCTCTTTTTTTACCCCTCCTCTCAGCCGTCCTCTGCCTCTCACCCGCCCTCTCACCCCTCAAAGTTACTCTTTTTTCGCCCTCCCCTCGCTCCCCCACTTCTCTCCCCCCCCCCACCCCAGGCCACGGCACGGGAAGCAGAGAAGAAGAGGCTGATGGAGCAGCAAGCTCAGGCAGTGCCTTGCTGGTATGCCTCTTGTTGTGTTGACGCCCTCTCTCTCCCCTTCTCCACCATTCGCCCTCTTCTCCCCCCCCCCTCCAGGCCACGGCACGGGAAGCAGAGAAGAAGAGGCTGATGGAGCAGCAAGCTCAGGCAGTGCCTTGCTGGTATGCCTCTTGTTGTGTTGACGCCCTCTCTCTCCCCTTCTCCACCATTCGCCCTCTTCTCCCCCCCCCCTCCAGGCCACGGCACGGGAAGCAGAGAAGAAGAGACTGATGGAGCAGCAAGCTCAGGCGCAGGGGCGGGGGGGCATGGGCGGAGGGATGGGCGGAGGGATGGGGGCAGGGATGGGCGGAGGGATGGGCGGAGGGATGGGCGGAGGGATGGGTGGGATGGGCGGAATGGGCATGCACATGGGCATGGGAATGGGAGGAATGGGGATGGGGGATATGGGGGGTATGGGTGGAATGGGGGGTATGGGCGGTATGGGTATGGGCATGAATATGGGTGGTGGGGCTGTTGGTATGGGTTCAAATGGGTATGGCATGGGCATGCATATGGGTGATGGTGGCGGTGGGGGAGGAAGTGGGGGTAATGGGGGTAATGGGGGAAATACAGGCACACGTCAGGCAGGGAACAAACGAGCGAGCCAGAAGAAAGAAGAGGAGGAGGAAGAGGAGGATTCAGATGATGACGACGATGATGAGGATGATTCTGATGATGAAGATGATGATTCTGATGAGGATGATGAGGAGAGCGAAGAGGAAAAGGAGGAGAAAGGAGGGAAGAGGAGTGGGGGTCAAGTAGGGACACAGGTGTCGAGAGGAAGAGAGGGAACCGGAACAGGAGGAGGAGGCGGAAGAGGAGGAGGAGGGCGAGGGGTGGGAGAGCTAGAAGGGACAAGTGGGGGAACCAGAGGAAAAGCGGGTGTGGGAGAAGGACAGCGAGCCATGAATTCTGGTGGTAACCCTGTGGGTGGTAACATTAAGAGCAATGATCCGAGGATTGCTAGGAACGCAGGTGCTTCTGGTGGCCGAGGTGCAACCTCGGGCGGAGGTTCGGGGCGAGGTTCGGCTAGAGCAGGTCCAAATGACCAGCGTCGGAGCTTTGGCTCAGGCCAAAGCAGCGGAGGAGTGGGAGGTGATGGTGAGAGGGGGATAGGAGTGAGAAAGAGGGTTATGGATGGAGAGGCGGAGGGAAGGGGAGGGGTGGAAGGGGAGCGGAGAGCAGGAGGGAGGAGTGAGAAGGGGAGTGTGGCAGAGAGAAGGGATCCGAGAATGAGAAGGGGGTAGAGTGGGAGTGAAGGGGTTACAGTGAGTTTGAAGGCCCAAGGATGCTTTGGTTTCCCTTCCGTAACTGTATAAGCAGCCTGCGTGTGCGCAAACTAGCAGCACTTGTTACGGTACTTATTGACCATAAATTGATCAAATGTTTTTGTCTCAGGAATTTCAGTACATGGCACAATATATGCCCATAGTACCATTTTCAGTAGTTTGTTGGAAATATTTTGACAGCTGACTTGAAAGCATCAATGTTCTAGATTTTGTAACATTAATACGATACTAACCATCACCTACACCTGCACAGTTTCCTCTTGCGAACTACCGTAACTTGTACACGTTGCTGAAGCAACTGTGGTAAGCATTGTACCATGTTATGAATCATGCAAAGTGACCTGCTCTGCTGGCATTCCTAGCTCCGCAAGGAAAGGCAATCAGAGTTTGCACAAGCTAGGACTTTATGATGCCCTACTGTTGTATGCCATTACCAGTGTCAGTTGATGGGCGTTATTGGAAGGTAGTCAAGAAACGTGATTTTTATGCACTAGCATAGCATGCACCGTAACAAGGGTGGCACGATGTTCAAGCTCTGTTTGTAGCGGTTGTGCGCACACAATCACTGTAACTAAATGGTGTGCTTCCACGAACAGGCCTGTAATTTGTGCGCTCCAAGGCACAAGCTCTGTGACTTCTGTGCCAGGGGCATAAGTCCTGTGATTTGTGTGTGCCTAAGCTTTGTGAGTAGTGTTTCAATGTATCCTGTTAGAGTGCTTCGACCCAAAGGCTCTGTGATTAGTCTGCCACGAGGCACAAGTCCTGTGGTCGGCCCCATGATTAGCCTTGTGCTTAGTCCTGTGGTCAGCCCTGTGATTAGCCTTGTGGTTAACCCTGTGATCAGGCCTGTGGTAAGCCCTGTAGTTAGCCCTGTAATTAGCCCTGTGGTTAGCCCCGTAGTTAGCCCTGTAGTTACGGTAGCCCTGTAGTTAGCCCTGTGGTTAGCCCTGTGGTTAGCCCTGTCGCTAGGCCCTGTGGTTGCTGAGGTGGGTGGGTCCCATGGGGAGGGAGGTCGCACGAGGAGGTGGGTTGCAGGGGGAGGCACGCGGAGGGGCAATTTGAGGCGGAGGGGGAGGGGGTCGGGAAGGGACAGGGGAAGAGAGGTGTGGGGGGGGTGCTACGCAGGGGGAGAGGGGGGGGGGGTACCATACCTGAGAGTGTTACTAATCTAGATAACCTTTCCTATCCTATCCGCTGCAGCTCTAGCATATGTGGTCTTCATCTTCTTCTTCATCTGTCTTGGCTTCCAATTGGAGCTGCTTCGGCTGTACTGAAAGCAGACGAGAGGAGGAGACAATGAAACGATATGACATTGTAGAATCAGGTATGACATGAAACGATAGGTGTTGTCTCATTCGGGTACATGATAAAATATGAATCGACATGCTGTTTCTGGAGCTCAGTCTGTGCTTGGTTGTTTGATGCTCACCTTCACAGACACCGATCAGCTCGTCACCAGCTGGCCTCTCCCCGCAAGGAATCGCAATCCCCACCTCGCTCGTAAGATCCTGTCATGTCAGCAAAGCAACACAGCCAAACAGAAGCAGCGAGAGAGAGAGAAGCATGAGAAACTAAGCAGCACGAGAGAGAAGGGCACATGATTAATGAAGCAGCGAGAGAGAAGATTGAGCATGTGGAAGGGTAAGGAGAAGCTTGTGGTTCCATTCTGTTAACCAATCAGTCACAGCGAAATTGTTTTGCCGGGCACAGAGAGAAAATGGTATGAATGCAAAGGACTGTGAGTCATGGACAGGAAGTGTGGGGATGGAAGGGGTATTGGTGCGTCATGCAAGAGTGGTGCAGAAGAAAAAGGGTGGGTGCAGAAAATCACCATAAGTGAAGTCCTCAAAGCATGTGCTATTCTTGTGCACACTCGTGCTCCACTGCTGCTGCCAGAATGTAGCTCCACCCACTGATCAGACCTGAAAGAGGACACACGAGGGAAAAAGGCATGTGAACAAAGAGGAGAGGAAGAACCGAGAAATAAGGCATCTGAAGGTCAAAAAGGGAGAGGAGATGCAATAGAGAGGCCGACAAAGAAAAGTTGGAGGCAGAGGAGAAGAGGGTTGAGTGAGCAGAAATACCATAAGGAGACGGCCCATCCCATGCCACCATTGCCGTGCATGTTCGTCAGAGGGTATGAGAGGAGAGAAAGTGGTGTGAAGAAGCGGAGGGGAAGGAAGAAACGGAGGGGAAGGAAGCAAAAGTGGTCGGAGCATAGAGCTTCGAGGAGATGAGGGACGGCATGAGAGGAGCATCGATGACGTTCAAATAAGAAAGAGAGAGGGCTGGCTAGGCGAGGGGATCTGAGCATGCAACATGAGAATGCCACTTGACTGTTGCTCCCTCTGACATGGGAGACTTAAGTGACGAGCAGTACTGAACTAAGCTCACCACATCGTGTCTTCCAATTGCGTTCCCTTCAGCGCCCCTTTGCTGTCTCACCTTGCTGTACTCGCCTAGTGGAAGGGAGACAGGTTCTGAAACAGTGACAAGGAGGAAAATTTGGAAAGAGAGAAGGTTGAAGGCGCATTCATACAAAGCTGACTGGACGGGGGGGATATAAGTGAAAGAGAGACAGGAAAAGGAAGCACATGGGGAGATAAACAGAAAGAAAGATGAAACCGTAGTGGAGAGGAAAGGCCAGACAGAGGGAGATCTCACCAGACAGGTAAGGCCAGACAGAGGGAGCTTCATCAGCCAGTGTTGCATGACCAGCACCATCAGCAGCACTGCCAGCACTATCAGCACCAGCAGCAGCATCACCAGCAGCACTCGCACCTTCCTAAACCCATTGCATTCTTGCTGTTGAGAAAAAAGAACGGGAAGCGCAGAGGGACAGGTGAAAGAGGCAGAGAAAGGGAGTGAGTTAGAGAATGAAAGGCAAAATTCGCCAACAGCAGATTTATCTGGACAAAAGCATGAGTGAGAAACGAGAGAGCAAACTGTCGAGTGGAGCTTCGCTCGTGAAGTGTAAGGTTGGGAAGCTATCACCTGGGGAAGCAGCTGGAGGAGGAACGAGGGGCGGAGGGAGGAGGGCAGCAGGCGCGTGGAGAAGATGGGTGCACTTGCAGCAGCACCCCTCGCAGCAACACCCCTCAGAAGTTGGGTGGAGAAGATGGGTCCAAGGCGCTGCTCCTCCCGTGTTGGACCCAAAGGATGCACTTGCAGCAGCACCCTCGAAGCAACACCCCTCTCAGCAGTACTTTTTTCCAGAGGCTGCCTCTGCCACCCCTTGCTGCTCGCACTCCCTTGGCCTGGAACAAGCGATAGAGTTGAGGATAGGGATAGGGACATGGACACGGGATGCACGAAGTAAGTCCAAGGACGGAAAGCAGCAGTGGAAAAGGATTTGCAAGCGACAAATGAACAAGGCAGGGAAAACTGGAGAACAAAAATACAGAGAAGAGAAAACAATTTTGCAGAATGCAGTAAAAACAGAGAGGCGATGGTAGCACACAGCACTAGGGCAGCGAGCTAGCAGGCAATTGGGACGACGGACGCGGGCATGTGTATGAATGCATTCTACTCTATCCCTCTAGGACTCTAGTATGAGAGCAAGCCGCCCCAGTGCCATGCGCTACCATCGCCAAATCGCCGCTCATCTCTCACTCAACTTTTGACGCTCGTCTCACGTCTCTCATTTCGTATTTTCAAACATGCAGTGAGGAAAAGACGCTGAACAAATCATGGCAGTAATAAACACGAAGCAGAAGAGTTAAGGATGGCTAGGGCAGGGAACTTAGCGGTATGGGGGTGCTTGCAGGACAGTGGCATCAGGCTTCCAGGAGGCTCGCACACCGCTGTGACTGCCTGCCGTGCGTCATCCCACCGCCCTCCCTTTCCGCACCACGCTGCCATAGCACTGGACGAGAGGGGTGGAACAAAGGAGGGCAAGAGGAGCAAGCGGGGGAAAGGAAGCCAAGTAGTCAATAGAAGCAAGAAAGTATAGAAACGCAAGCAAGGAGGCAGAGATAACAAGAACGAATGAGTAACGGAAACAAAAGCATAAGATAGAAAGCATGTGGCATGGTGACACAGTGAAAGGGGAGGCGATGGTAGCACACAGCACTAGGGCAGCGAGCTAGCAGGCAATTGGGACGACGGACGCGGGCATGTGTATGAATGCATTCTACTCTATCCCTCTAGGACTCTAGTGTGAGAGCAAGCCGCCCCAGTGCCATGCGCTACCATCGCCAAATCGCCGCTCATCTCTCACTCAACGTTTGACGCTCGTCTCACGTCTCTCATTTCGTATTTTCAAACATGCAGTGAGGAAAAGACGCTGAACAAATCATGGCAGTAATAAACACGAAGCAGAAGAGTTAAGGATGGCTAGGGCAGGGAACTTAGCGGTATGGGGGTGCTTGCAGGACAGTGGCATCAGGCTTCCAGGAGGCTCGCACACCGCTGTGACTGCCTGCCGTGCGTCATCCCACCGCCCTCCCTTTCCGCACCACGCTGCCATAGCACTGGACGAGAGGGGTGGAACAAAGGAGGGCAAGAGGAGCAAGCGGGGGAAAGGAAGCCAAGTAGTCAATAGAAGCAAGAAAGTATAGAAACGCAAGCAAGGAGGCAGAGATAACAAGAACGAATGAGTAACGGAAACAAAAGCATAAGATAGAAAGCATGTGGCATGGTGACACAGTGAAAGGGGAGGCGATGGTAGCACACAGCACTAGGGCAGCGAGCTAGCAGGCAATTGGGACGACGGACGCGGGCATGTGTATGAATGCATTCTACTCTATCCCTCTAGGACTCTAGTATGAGAGCAAGCCGCCCCAGTGCCATGCGCTACCATCGCCAAATCGCCGCTCATCTCTCACTCAACGTTTGACGCTTGTCTCACGTCTCTCATTTCGTATTTTCAAACATGCAGTGAGGAAAAGACGCTGAACAAATCATGGCAGTAATAAACACGAAGCAGAAGAGTTAAGGATGGCTAGGGCAGGGAACTTAGCGGTATGGGGGTGCTTGCAGGACAGTGGCATCAGGCTTCCAGGAGGCTCGCACACCGCTGTGACTGCCTGCCGTGCGTCATCCCACCGCCCTCCCTTTCCGCACCACGCTGCCATAGCACTGGACGAGAGGGGTGGAACAAAGGAGGGCAAGAGGAGCAAGCGGGGGAATGGAAGCCAAGTAGTCAATAGAAGCAAGAAAGTATAGAAACGCAAGCAAGGAGGCAGAGATAACAAGAACGAATGAGTAACGGAAACAAAAGCATAAGATAGAAAGCATGTGGCATGGTGACACAGTGAAAGGGGAGGCGATGGTAGCACACAGCACTAGGGCAGCGAGCTAGCAGGCAATTGGGACGACGGACGCGGGCATGTGTATGAATGCATTCTACTCTATCCCTCTAGGACTCTAGTATGAGAGCAAGCCGCCCCAGTGCCATGCGCTACCATCGCCAAATCGCCGCTCATCTCTCACTCAACGTTTGACGCTCGTCTCACGTCTCTCATTTCGTATTTTCAAACATGCAGTGAGGAAAAGACGCTGAACAAATCAGGGCAGTAATAAACACGAAGCAGAAGCGGCACGGATGGCTAGGGCAGAGGACTTAGCCGTATGGGGGTGCTTGCAGGACAGTGGCGTCAGGCTTCCAGGAGGCTAGCACACCGCTGTGACTGCCCGCCGTGCGTCATCCCACCGCCCTCCCTTTCCGCACCACGCTGCCATAGCACTGGACGAGAGGGGTGGAGCAAAGGAGGGCAAGAGGAGCGAGTGGGGGAAAGGAAGCCAAGTAGTCAGTAGAAGCAAGAAAGTATAGAAACGCATGCAAGGAGGCAGAGATAACAAGAACGAATGAGTAACGGAAACAAAAGCATAAGATAGAAAGCATGTGGCACGGTGACGTAGTGAAAGGGGAGGCGATGGTAGCACACAGCACTAGGGCAGCGAGCTAGCAGGCAATTGGGACGACGGACGCGGGCATGTGTATGAATGCATTCTACTCTATCCCCCTACGACTCTAGTATGAGCGCAAGCCGCCCCAGTGCCATGCGCTACCATCGCCAAATCGCCGCTCATCTCTCACTCAACTTTTTTTTCGAAGCATGCTGGAGGGAAAAACGTGTACCAGATGTGGGCAATGATATACACGAAGCAGAAGCGGCAAGGATGGCAAGAGCGAAGGAAGAGGGAACTTAGCTGTAACGGGGTGCTCGCAGGCGACAGAAACAGCGAGACAGCGGTGCAGCAGCAGAATGCACTCTTCCCACTTTGGCGTGATTTCGACCGCCCTCGCATTAGCCTCTGTTACGGCCAGCGTTTAAATCGCCGCCGTGAAAAATCATCACCATCTCGACAATCAGCGTCGGCAAGCGTCGCGTCCGTCGCCGCCGGAAGAAGTCACAATCTTGACGGTCAGCGTCGGCCAGCGCACATCGTCACCGTGCGAAATCACCATCTCGATAGTCAGCGTCGGCAAGCGTCCCGTCAGGCGTCTTCGTAAGAATTCGCCATCTCGACAGTCAGCGTCGGCCAGCGTTGAAATCGTCACCGCGGGAAATCATCACCAATAGTCAGCGTCGCCAAGCGTCGCGTCAGTCGTCGCCGTACGAATTCGTAGTCCTGATCAATCCTTATCTTCACCGCAGGAAACGTCTCAGCCGCCAACAATTGGGAAGCGTCGATTCGATAGTCACTTTGAAATAGTCGCCTTAATCGTCCTTGTGGGAAATCGCAATCCTTCAACGTCGGAACGTTGGTCCAATCGCCACCATTGAAAATCGTCACCGACGGAAAACGTCACTTTCATTGCCACCGACGGAAAACGTCACTTCACCATTGAAAATCGTCACCGTCAGAAATCGTCGGTTCGGTCGTTACCGTCAATAATCTAGATCGTCACCGTCAGAAGCAGCCGTCGCTGACCGTCTCAACCATCACCATTGGAAAAATCCGCGATGTTCGTCACCGTCAGGAAACATCTTCTCATTCACCGCCGTTAGATGCCGATGACTAGCTACTCCGAGTCGAAGTCCGAAGTACGCATCGCTAACCCCGTATAATCATTCAGCGCTGTCTTCGCCGTGTGAATCAGCTGTCGCCAGCAGCCTCCGTCATCACCAAATCGAAACTTTCTCGCTGCTGGAGAGCGGCGACGCCTCGTGACTAGAAGGAGCGTATGGAGATCGGAAGACCATGTTCCGCGCTCGACGGACGTCTAGAATACTTCTACCAAGTTGTTCTGGAAACTGGAGCAGAAATCAGAACTGCAGTCAAGAGAGATTGCTAGATGACGGAGATGAAACTGCTCTGAATGACTACAGCTTCTAAGCTTCAAATGTCTCTGTCCGACTAGATCAGGCGTAACACTTAAAGGGTTTGCAATGATCAGTGATCTCCGGCTTAACGACCTCGTGATAAGAAAAAATAAAGATTAAGAAGACTAATACTACGATCGAGAGCCATTAATGGTTCGTAACAAGCTGGCGACAGCCATGGACTTCAGCGTAGTGAGCTATCTCAAGGAATCTTGGAAAGAAAGACGTTCAGGGAAGTTGGAGAATGGAGTTAGGAAAAAAGGTGATCACGAGTGAAAAGGGCCAGGTTCAGAGGTGAACTTAAGGAGATTTAGATGGATCGAGAGTGGTGAGGAAGGATTCGCAGAAACTGAGTATCCATTACCATTTCCCCTGCCAGGGGCAAGCCGCCGTATGGTCAGCGGACTGCCTTCGTGATAGCGCTGACGACGGGGATAGCAATTTCGTTTGCGAGAAGATCCTCGGAATCTCCGCACCACGGCGCGTTCCGCCATTTGAGCGGGAATCGAGTGTCAGAAGCACATGCTTGTGACACAACGGCATGATGTGATGCTCCATGGCAACATCTGTGTGATGTGATGGTTGTCGTCGATCTTCATGCTTCTCCCGTTTCTGGGTACACCAGATTGATCGAACGGCCAAGCGCAACTATTATTTGTAATGAGACGTGTCGCTCTGACACACAAACATCATCTGCCGAAGCATGGTTGTATCGAAACTATGGCAACCCGTAATACCATTTATCCCTCAATCACCTTCACCTGATCGATCCTATTCAGATGAACGATACAGAATGCATTCCAGAAAAGCTTTAGCTCCCAAGTTTCACATACTTTACATACGATTGGCAACCTAATGGGTGATGCGATGCTCCTTCAAAGGTGGATGCGTTATTTTACCCCCTGGTATGCACAAGAACGGCGTTACCACTGTGGGGGAACAGAACTCGCGCTTTGCAAGACAACCTAGGCAAGAAACGGCAGGCAACATTACAAATCTTGCGCGACATGATTTTCCCAAGCCGGGAGACCCAACATGTTCCACCATGTTTTTTTCCTCAACCTTTGTTTGTACGATCCTGTTCCACATTCCATGTCATCCTCCATTCCTCTCCCATCACTGCTACAACAACTACCCATTAGCTTGTTCCAAGACTTCACAGCCAACATGCACGACTGGGTACCTCTGGCTTTGGTTCCCATCAGATCTTCCATTCTGACTAGCATATGGCGCTCACAAGGTTCCCCTTCTGCACATCAACCTCACTGTTGAACACAAATCATTACAATATGTTCCATAGATTAGGTACCACATCAGTCACTCAGTAACCAAGCTCTTCCGGAGTGTAATTTAGCAGGGTCTGCAGCGCGCTGGGTGCAATCTTCCTAAGAACAAGGAAGCAGGAGTTCTGGTGGCCGCCCCAGGAGCACTTGGAGTCCCACTTGACCGACGTGAGGAAGCGCGGGGTGAGCTGCTCCCGTGTGTACTCCACAGGGTGCGGCCCCCCTGACCACATCGCCCATGTGGGTCCTCTTCTCGCCACGTGCTCTGGGTCGCGGATCTTGAAGGGAAAACAGAGGAAGATATGGGGGAAAGGAAGGGAGGAGAGAGAGCGAGGGAGGGATGAGTGGGGAAAGGGATAGAGGCATTGTGTAAATCATGAGTAGGGAAGGAGTGGGGAGACAGTGGTGGTGAGGGGAAAGAATGGTGAGGGAATCTGCGAGTACCTTGAGTAATGTTTGAAAATAATGCTCATCCAAATAGCAGTGCCGGTGCCAGTTGTCACCCTGCAATCGAGAAAGAAATGGTATGTGGGGACACACGGAGAGAAGAAGGCAGGAAAGACAAACACCAGGGATTGTCACCGAGTTAGTGACAAGAGATAAATAGTTGAACAGACAGGACTGCATCTATGGCTGCTCACTTATGAAACACCTCCATAGCCTCGCATCAACAAGCAAGCCACCCGACTCCCCTGTGCTCACCTTGCACCATCTGGCGAGGGTGGGGTAGATGGTTGTGTCCGTGGCAGCAAGGAAGGCATGGTGCCATGTCAGCGCCCACCACTGCTCAGGATAGGACGGGCAGAGCAACAGTGAAGAGTTACATGAAAGGATGGAAGAAATCGAAGGTCATCTTAGTACCCTTGGACCGCAGACGCCTTTGAATATGACTTGACTCATGGGAGTTATTTGAAGTGAATGGAGTATACCTGAGAGCCCTTGGTCCACTGGTTCCTTTGCACGTGCGGCTGCATGCGACTGCTGTAGTGCCCCATGCAGTTCCAATCGTTGTTGCACGCACTGCATTGGGGCGAGGAAGGGGCGTGGGGTGAGGGGAGACACTGAGGGTGGAGACAACGGGAGAGGTAATTAAAATAGTTGGACTAGTCGAAAGAAGAAGGGTTGGAAAGGGGAAGTCCTAGAATGGTTGTGCATTCAGGCATTGAAGTGCATGAACGCGTTGCTTCACCCACCTGTGCAGCAGGCTCTGGTTTTCCGCCATCAAGTAGCGATATGTGAAGGGGAAGTCGTGCAGAGGCATGCATCTGTTGGGGGGGATGGGGCGTAAAGAGGGGGGTGAGGGGTGGGTGCCGAGGCATGCACTTGTCGGGGGAATGAGGTGTGGAGGGGAAGGAGGGTGATGGGTAGGCGAAGTGGACGCAGCGTAGGGTCATGCATTTGTTTTCGCTGATAAGGCGAGACGGACACCCAAACCACGAGGCGGCAGTCTGAGATACAGCAATTAACAATGAGCCTTCCTACCCACCCACCCACACACCCACCCACACACCCACCCACACACCCACCCACACACGCACCCACACACGCACCCACACACGCACCCACCACGCGCCCACATCGAATCCCATCCAACCCCACAACGCACGACTCAGAGACAATGATGAACCCTGACTCATGTTTCGAAGGGCTGCAGTAGTAGAGAGGACGCTTAAGCAAAGGAACAACAGTAAAAACTCGTGAAAAAAAACGTGGTGGGGGTGATGCCTGGTGGGGGTGATGCCTGGTGGGGGCGATGCCTGGTGGGGGTGATGCCATCCCATCCCACCACATCGCATCCCATCCAACCCCACGACGCACGACTCAGAGACAATGATGAATTGCTTGTTGGCCGGGTCCAGCAACCCACCCACTCACCAACCCATGCACCCATGCTCCCACGCACCCATCCCCTTTCCCCCCCCTCCCCTCTCACGCACGACTCAGAGACAATGATGAATCGCTTGTTGGCCGGGTCCAGCAGGGCGTTCGCCAGGAGGCAACACACCCCCAACCCATCCCATCCCATCCGACCCACCCATTCATTCACTTCATCCCTCCTATCCCACCCCCTCACGCACGACTCAGAGACGATGAGGAATCTCTTGTTGGCCGGGTCCAGCAATGCGTTCGCCAGGAGGCGTCGCTCTGCCGCCACCATGGAGGGGTCGCCCCACTGCACCTTCTCGCTGGGGATCTCCCGCGCGTAGAACACAGGCGACGAGTCCAAGGGATACTGGAACCCCGGCGCTGCATGCACGTAGATTGAGTACCGCCGCTCGTGGCCCTGAGGGGGGAAATAAGGGGTAGATGGAGCAGCGGCGCGACAGCCCAGGTTTAGGGGATGATGAGGCAGGCGCAGATGGTGGAAAAGAGGGGGGGGAGAGTGTGTGGTGGCAGTGACAGTAGGGTTTGCAGGTCGCACCGAAGGTAAGACAATGGAACATAATGGGGGGTGCGAAGGTAACCTCGGATCATGCAGCAGCAAGGAATCTCACCCGAAGGTACCTCTCCCATAGTCTACTAAGAGGCATGGGTCCACGTGTCAGGAATAGGAACGCGACGCGGTCCTCCTCCCCCTGACCGTTCCCCTTGGGCTGTCCCTCGGGGTACAGCCTCCGCACCCTATCAAACAACGCCACGTCAGCGGCGGATAAGACCGGCTCGTCCATGCTTCCGGGCGGTGGGCCTTGTCTTATCTCCTCATCGGAGCATCTGTGTCCGGTAAGGTTGACGCAGGGAGACTCGTCCTTGGCTAGTAGGCGGAGGTACGCTGGTGTGGGATCGGTCGGAGATCCCGCGAGGGACGGAGGGATGGAGGAGGAGGAGGAGGACGAGGTGGAAGAGGAGGAGGAGGAATCAATTTCAGGTAATGTTGTGTGGGAAGAGGATGAGTCTGTGTGTTGGTGTGTCGTCAAGCGACCGTAACTGTCGCGGGTTTCGCCGGCATCTAGAGCGGATCCTGAGCTCCCTAGGCTTCGCAAATGCCTTCGCAGCGACGGCGAAAGCAACACGGTAACCGCGAGAAACGCGGAAATTCCCAAAGCGACGGGGAGGATGCTACGTTTGGTGCTACGGCCCTTGGGATTCGCGCGCCTTGGAACACTGCCAGCGGGACCGGCGCTCCCCGTTGAAACCCCTCCTTTCGCGGCAACTATCGGCATCTTTAATGGATTCTGAGTTAGCTCACAAACATTCACGAGATCGAGGAAGATTTGAACCGACCATCGAAGACTATGGCGCTGATCTCTCGTGAGGACTGAAGATCGAGACGACGCGGAAGCTCCCTTGAAGCGCAGCTGCAACGTTCTGGCAATAGCAGTGTCTGTTAGTAAACTCAAGCTCCAGCCGCTTCGACATGGGATGCTTCGCACATTCAGGAGCTTGGTGTTTTGCTTTTGGGAGTTCCTTAGGGCGTGTCAACCCCAGGTTCGAACAGGTCTCTCGTTCGAACAGGAAAAATGTTACAAGCTTCGCCAGGCTTCGTAGGCACCCTAATGACGTCGCTAACCAGAAGTTTCGCCAATTCGAGGAGGGCTGTCACATCGGGCATGCTGCCATATGTGTTGCACGTTCGAACAGCGCTGTTCGAACACAGAATGATAGGCGCCCCCCTTTCAGCACGGACGACGCCTCTGATTGGACAGCAGCCTGCATAGTCGCTAGCAAAATCGCTTCTCATCGGAAACAACTAGGTGAGCAGCAGCAGAGGAGTACGAGGAGACATTGTGACTGGATGGGCGAAAAATGGGTCAAACTGGAATGGCAGGCGACTGATTTTTTTTTTTCTTGCGACGCTTAGCGACGTCGCCCTTTTATGGGCGACGTCGCATGTTCGAACAGGCTGTGTGTTGGAAAAGAGAGGGAACCCCTGGTGACGAGCTGTCACATCACCAGGATGTTCAAATTGTGTTCGGACACTGTTCGTACAGTGAATTCGTAATGCATGTTCGGATTTGGGCCTTCCAGCCCCGAGGTGACACGCCCTTAGATTCTGAAACAAACTACAGCAAGCAAATTCGGATCGGCAGCAGACGGAATATGACCGGCCCAGATCAGCCTAGCACTGCCAAACAGAACCTGTCAGGGTGTCAGAAGCTTGCATCCACCACACTATTCTCGCAATTTTCAAATTCGCATTTGTGCTTTAGTAGGTTTGCACTCGTGTATTGATCCGACAATAGAGTGAATATTTTGAAATCGACTCGTGCCAGAAACGCGGATCTGTTATACCGCCTTGGGATCTCCCCCAAAAGTCTTCTAGCGAGGTGAAGCGTGTGGGTGAAGCTCTGAAACAGCACCATCTTAAGGACGTGGTAAAACTGCTCGATCGGGGGGAAATCGATCCGGTAACCGCACTGAAACCCTGCGTTTTGTATACAAAAGATACACAACCGTATATAACCGTGCTAAAAAACGAACCTGAGGCGATCGATTCTCCACTTTTACCGCATCCTTACAGGAATCTCCCGAACTCACCATTTTCCGCCGTTTCTGTTTCTACGACTCTCACCATGTTCTGAGATGCTCCATCCCAGAGCTAGATCAGTCGTTCGTCCCGGGAAGCTCCTTTCCCGTTACCTCTCTAATTGTCGATCACTTTCGCGGGAGGTCTCCTCTAATTCCGCGACGACCTGCTTACCCCAGTGCGAGCGCGTGAATCTAGAACGTGTCGAATCCAGAAGACTCGATCTTGGAAAACGCGCGATGCTTCGCGTTAGCATACCGTCCGACGCGCTCGCGTGCCGGCCGTTGCGCAGCCTACACAGCACACCCGTCGCCATCTCCAACCGTAACGTCGGACGAGGATGCGACGCGGCGATCTTACATCAATCCCGGCCTCGCTCATTTGCCACGTCAGGCGCTCCAACCTCACTTCAACCTTCCAACCGTAGGCATTCCCGTCGTCTCCTCCCAGCGCTTTCATCCTCCGTCGTAGCCGTTCCGCTCCCAGTGTCAGGCTTGTCACCGTCATCCATACTTCGAGCTCCCACCGCCTCACTCACTGGCCTGTCCACGCGTGGCCGGAGTCTCTTTACCTCGGAATTGCCTTCCTTGTCGAAATCCCGCCGAGATGAGCGGAAGCTGGGGATCGCGCCAGTGGGGGACGTATGGCGGGTGCGCGCGCAGGGTATTGCGGGGAATGCGGGGGCGAGTGTAGCGGAGGTGGTCGAGGCGGAGACAGAGGGGAGAGAGGGGGTAGGCGGAGCGGAAGAGGAGAAGGCGGAGAAGCTTCAGTATGTGCCATTGCACACGCATAGTGACTTCAGCCTTCTAGACGGAGCCAGTCAGGTGGGAGGCCTTTGCAACGAGTACAACGATTGAAGAGAGTATAACGCCCGATTATATCCTCATGTTGCTTCCGTATGTCCTTACGTACCCTCCATGCCATGGCAGCTGAAGGGACTGGTCGCACGGGCCAAGGAGCTTAACATGCCTGGCATTGCACTCACTGACCATGGCGGTGAGTCCCATCCCATGCACAAACTGCGAAAGAATTTCCTTCTGGCAGTTTGATTCACCCAGACCATGGCACGGTATGTTACACACACCCCACCCCTCTCTTTTCTCTCGCAATTCTTCCTCCCTCCACTGCATTCTTCCTTCTTTCCTTGTTTCGTGCCTCTTTCTTTCGTCTGACCGACGTGCAATGGTAGGCGACTCGATTGCAGTCTGCTAAGCGCCTTACCCACTCATCTCGCCCATCACACTTGTCCGCCTTCATTGTACCCCACACGCTCCCCGTCTTCTGCTCTCTCTCTCCCCCCCCCCCCCCCTCCTTCTCTTTCCCCCTCAACCCAGTGATGTATGGCGCCCTGCAGCTGGTGCGCATGTGCGAGGCGGAGGGCTTAAAGCCCGTGATCGGCAACGAGATGTACCTCGTGCATGACAAGGGCGCTCCCGCCGCCCTGCTGCAGGCCGCACGGGCCCTCCGGGAGCAGGAGGAGCAGGGAGAGCAGGGGGAGATGCGGGAGGAGAGAGAGGAGAGTGGGATGGGAATGAGGATGGGAGGGGCGGAAGGGGAAGCGGATGGGGGAGGAGGACAGGTGGTGCTGGAAAGAGTGGGGGAGGTTGGTGGTTCTGTGAAGGGGAGTGGTAGTGGGGAGGGGGAAATGGGGCAAGGATTAGGGGGGGAGGTGGCAGAGGGGCTGGCTGGGGAAGAGCAGGCAGGGGAGGCGGAGGCAGTTGGGGCAGGGAAGGCAGTCAAAGCACCCCCAGTCAAAAGGTGAGTGCGTGGGAGGGCGGATTGGCCCGAAGGGGAGAAATGATTCATTTTCTATTCTGGTAGGGGCAGATTCTTGAGTAAGGCAAGGTGCCCATGTGCCTCTCCTATGCATCCATCTCCCATGCATGCACCCCCCACCCCACAGATACCACCTGACTGTTCTGTTCTAGCCAAGGACATGGAGGGGTACCGCAACCTGGTGCCACTCTGTGAGATGCCTCAACATCCCCCATGCATCCACGTCCTCCCACCCCACCCCGCAGATACCACCTGACAGTACTGGCCAAGGACATGGAGGGATACCGGAACCTGGTGCAGCTCACATCGATCTCGCACCTGCATGGCATGGTGGTGAGTCTAAGTCGCGTGCTTGTGAGAAGGAAGAAAGGAGTCATGGCGTGGGGAGCACGGAGGACTTGGGCAGGTATACTCTCATCTGCTTTTCCCTTTGAATCTCTGCCACTTTTGAGAATTCTCAAAAGTCGCACCAGTATACTTGGGCAGGTATACTCTCATCTGTTTTTCTCTTTGAATCTCTGCCTAAAAGCACACAGAGAGGTGCGCAGTGGGCAGTTTGATTTGACGAGATCTTGTGCATCTCCATGGTTCCACATGAGGCTCGATTGTGAAATCCCGTCAAGTGTTTTTCTGTTCCTGTTTCTTCTTTCTGCTTCATGGCAGGGTAATGGTGCAAGAGGGCGTCCGTGCATCACAAGGTGGGTGTGCATGCATTCATGCATGCATCGTCAAGCGGCTGCTGACTGACACGCTTCTACATTCTCGAGTGCAAGAATGGCACTTGCTTTACCAAGCTGTTGGGCGACGCACCCTGCGTGTGTGTGACGGGGCTTTGGCCGATTGGCATCCTCTTTCCCGCACACCACCTCCTCCTCCATTCCGTTGCTGTTGCAGGGAGCTGTTGGCGCATCACAGAAAGGGGCTCGTCGTGTTGAGTGGATGCATGTCAGGGGAGGTACGCTGGAGCCTGGAGGCCTGAGTAGACCGAACGCTGTGCTGTCTGAGCATGCACATCATTCTTTAGGCATGCATGCGTGGATGTCATGACACATACATCACGCAACGGCCTCGTGTTATGCTTGATCTCCTCTTCTCTCTCCACTCTCCCAGTTCTCCATACGCTCCTTGAGTTCACTCGATATCCGGTTCATCTCTCTCGCTTCCCCTCCTCTGCTCGTCTGGGAGTGCAGGTGCCGCGTGCCATCATGGCGGATCGCATGGACGAGGCGCGCAGCACAGTTGACTGGTGAGCTTTCCGCGCATCTGATGCGTGCATCATACCCCCACCGCCCTCCTCCTCTGCGCGTGCGTGAGCGCCAGGTGCCGCGTGCCATCATGGCGGATCGCATGGACGAGGCTCGCAGCACAGTTGACTGGTGAGCCCATCCCTCGCAGCACAGTTGACTGGTGAGCCCATCCCTCGCAGCACAGTTGACTGGTGAGCCCATCCCTCGCAGCACAGTTGACTGGTGAGCCCATCCCTCGCAGCACAGTTGACTGGTGAGCCCATCCCTCGCAGCACAGTTGACTGGTGAGCCCATCCCTCGCAGCACAGTTGACTGGTGAGCCCATCCCTCGCAGCACAGTTGACTGGTGAGCCCATCCCTCGCAGCACAGTTGACTGGTGAGCCCATCCCTCGCAGCACAGTTGACTGGTGAGCCCATCCCTCGCAGCACAGTTGACTGGTGAGCCCATCCCTCGCAGCACAGTTGACTGGTGAGCCCATCCCTCGCAGCACAGTTGACTGGTGAGCCCATCCCTCGCAGCACAGTTGACTGGTGAGCCCATCCCTCGCAGCACAGTTGACTGGTGAGCCCATCCCTCGCAGCACAGTTGACTGGTGAGCCCATCCCTCGCAGCACAGTTGACTGGTGAGCCCATCCCTCGCAGCACAGTTGACTGGTGAGCCCATCCCTCGCAGCACAGTTGACTGGTGAGCCCATCCCTCGCAGCACAGTTGACTGGTGAGCCCATCCCTCGCAGCACAGTTGACTGGTGAGCCCATCCCTCGCAGCACAGTTGACTGGTGAGCCCATCCCTCGCAGCACAGTTGACTGGTGAGCCCATCCCTCGCAGCACAGTTGACTGGTGAGCCCATCCCTCGCAGCACAGTTGACTGGTGAGCCCATCCCTCGCAGCACAGTTGACTGGTGAGCCCATCCCTCGCAGCACAGTTGACTGGTGAGCCCATCCCTCGCAGCACAGTTGACTGGTGAGCCCATCCCTCGCAGCACAGTTGACTGGTGAGCCCATCCCTCGCAGCACAGTTGACTGGTGAGCCCATCCCTCGCAGCACAGTTGACTGGTGAGCCCATCCCTCGCAGCACAGTTGACTGGTGAGCCCATCCCTCGCAGCACAGTTGACTGGTGAGCCCATCCCTCGCAGCACAGTTGACTGGTGAGCCCATCCCTCGCAGCACAGTTGACTGGTGAGCCCATCCCTCGCAGCACAGTTGACTGGTGAGCCCATCCCTCGCAGCACAGTTGACTGGTGAGCCCATCCCTCGCAGCACAGTTGACTGGTGAGCCCATCCCTCGCAGCACAGTTGACTGGTGAGCCCATCCCTCGCAGCACAGTTGACTGGTGAGCCCATCCCTCGCAGCACAGTTGACTGGTGAGCCCATCCCTCGCAGCACAGTTGACTGGTGAGCCCATCCCTCGCAGCACAGTTGACTGGTGAGCCCATCCCTCGCAGCACAGTTGACTGGTGAGCCCATCCCTCGCAGCACAGTTGACTGGTGAGCCCATCCCTCGCAGCACAGTTGACTGGTGAGCCCATCCCTCGCAGCACAGTTGACTGGTGAGCCCATCCCTCGCAGCACAGTTGACTGGTGAGCCCATCCCTCGCAGCACAGTTGACTGGTGAGCCCATCCCTCGCAGCACAGTTGACTGGTGAGCCCATCCCTCGCAGCACAGTTGACTGGTGAGCCCATCCCTCGCAGCACAGTTGACTGGTGAGCCCATCCCTCGCAGCACAGTTGACTGGTGAGCCCATCCCTCGCATGTGCTGCATCACATCATGCTTGCAAGCAAGTACACGAATGACACATGTACTGTCCAGAGGCGATGGCCAACCCATCACCTCTCTCCGCCTCGCATGCATGCAGGTACCAGTCAGTGTTTGGTTCAGACTACTACCTAGAGGTGATGGGCCACGCCTGTACAACATGCCACTCGTGGTCCCCGGCTCCGTTCCGTTCCCCCCATGACCTCTCCACATTGCATGCAGGTACCAGTCAGTGTTTGGTTCAGACTACTACCTAGAGGTGATGGACCACGGGCGCATTGACTTTGGTAGCGGCTACGATGTCAACGCCAAGATCAACCGTGCACTGCTGCACCTGTCCCAGCAGACGGTGAGGGGGATGGGGGGGGGAGGGGGATGTGTAGGGAGGGAGATGGACCATTCCTGAGGCGAGGTCAGGTCAGGGTGATGCCGATTGGGGAGGATGCAGGGTGAGGGAGCAGGAGTCTATTGAACGAGTTGACTTTTGAGTCGACTCAAAAGTCAACTTGCAGGGTGAGGGAGCAGGAGTCTATGGAATGTAGGTATAGGAGTGCCAGTGCCCTGATGCTCGTGCCTCGTGTCCTCACTCACCTGCACTGAGTAAGTACTCTGTCAATTGTCTTATGTTTGCTTCAAGAATCATTTGTCCTTTCCCCCACTTGGCAGCCCATCCCTCCCTTCCATCCCCTCAACTTTCGGTCCCCATTCCTCCCACCTTCGCCCGCATTTCCCCCACTTTTGCCCCGCATTCCTCCCACCTTCGCCCCGCATTCCTCCCACCTTGCCTCTGGTGGCCACCAACGACTCTCACTTCACCCGGGCTGCGGACCACAGGGTGCACATTCTTCCTATCCCCCCCCCCCTTCTCCCCCCATTTCCCCCTCGTGCACCTTCCCTTCCCTCTACCCCCCCCAGGGCGTGCCCCTGGTGGCCACCAACGACTCTCACTTCACTCGGGCTGCCGACCACAGGGCGCACCAAACACTCGTCTCTGTCAAGGTCTGTGCCCTTGGGTTCTGCGTTGCTACTTGAGTGCATTTAAGTGCATTTTGAGGCGCCTCAAAAAGCAACCTCTGTGAGGCCAGAGAATTTTGTAAACGGATTTCGTGTGTTCTTCTTGCATGCCCATGTTCGTGCCTGTGTGATAATGTATCCCTCACTCTCCCTCTCCTGCTTGCGTGTGCATTGCAGGCTGGGAAGAATCTTGTCCAAGCATATACGTGAGTCGCCTGCCTCCGTGTGTAGTAGTAATCATAATCTCTTTCACTTCCACCACTCATTTGATTCTTCAAAATTACGCAAGCGAATCTTGTTCTTCTTAGCTAATCCGTGGCTGGACTCCTTCTAACAGAACGTTTCAATCTGCCGTATCCCAATCCGCACATCACATCACATCACATCACACGACATGACATCAGGGGACAAGAGTACGTGAAGTCGCCAGAGGAAATGCTGGAGAGTTTGCAGAGGACTCTCCCTGAGGATCAAGCTTTGGAAGCCCTTCAGAACTCCCTGCGCATCGCTGATAAGGTGAGGAGGAGTGTCTGTCGCATGACTTGGTGCGGCCGCCTGTCTGTCACTTGGCTATTGGGAAGATTTAAACTAAAGCTACCGAAGCAATGCTGAAGAGTCTGCGGAGGAGCATGCTGTGGTGTGGTGGCAGCCCTTCAGAACTCCCTGCGCATTGCTTATAAGGAGGTGAGGTTGCCTGTCTGTCTCGTGGCTCCTGCATAAACCCATACCCACTGATACAATGCTCCACAGCCTGCAAACGACTCTTCCTCCCCCCCTCGCCTCGCCCCTTCCCTTCCCCAGGTTGCCAGTGGTGCCACCTACTCCATTTCTCCTCCAAGCACAAGCTGCGTCCCAAGTTTTTCTTGCGTCCCCCTCCTCTCCACTCGCCTCTCCCCCAGGTGACCTCCTACTCCTCCGACCTCTTCTCTAAGCCTAAACTGCGTCCTAAGCCCTTTCTGCGTCCTCCTCCTCCCCCCCCAACTCCCCTCCTCTCCTCTCGCCCCTCCCCTCCTCTCCACTCGCCTCTCCCCCAGGTGACCTCCTACTCCGCCGACCTCTTCTCCTCTAAGCCCAAGCTGCCCACCTTTGACGTGCCTCCTGGCCACACCGATGCTTCATGGCTTGAGGTGGGTGCATGAGGGGATGGACGGAAGTGAGCGCGGGGGTGAGGGAAGATGGGAGCGAGAGGGATGAGGGGATGTGCGAAGCTTACCACCTTGATCATGATTCGTGCCTCCGAGCTTCTCAGACACATCTTGATCAAGGTAGGGACACTTGAGGTCGATGACGGGGGCCGGGTCATGACAAGGAGGGGGCGATGCAGTGGCAAGAGAGGAAGAGGAGGGGAGAGGAGAGGGGAAGCGTCGTTTCAATGCTTGTCATGTTGAATTGCTGTCGGTTTGATTCGCTTTGCTGTACTGACTGTGGTACTCCATTCCCACAAATGTCCATTCCATGTGTGTGTGCGCGGTGTGGCATCAGAGTGAGGCGTGGAGGGGGCTGCAGGCTGTGATGGGCGTGCACACGTGGGAGGCAGTACCGCAGCAGTACAGGGAGCGACTAGACCTGGAACTCAGGGTCATTTGCAACTATGGCCTCTCCGCCTACTTCCTCGTATGTCCTCTTTTCTTGCTGCAGCTCCGCTTGCTTCTGTGTATGGCCGCCGTTCTTCTCATCCTATAAGCAAAGGGTTTTTATAGGTGACGCGACAACACCATCCCAAGCAAAGGTTCTTCTCCTCTATCTTGACCTCGCACATCCCACCGTTCCTTAGTTCCCCACCCTTCCGTTCCCCAACCCTTCGCAAACCTCTGGAGCAGATAGTGGCAGATATCATCCAGTTTGCCCGCAAGAACGACATTCCTGTGGGCCCAGGAAGGTGAGGCGGGGCAGGGAGGGAGAGGGATTGAGTAAGCCAAAATCTCGGATTTCCGCGTGGATGGGGTCATAATGTTCTGTGCTCGGACTGGTCATCGTGTCTGAACATTATTGTCAGAGTGTTAATCCACTTAGTTTCTCCTCTTGTCTCTCCCTCTCTTCCGCGTTCCCCATTTCCCCCCTCCCACTCCAACTCGCACCCCTCAGGGGGTCAGCAGCGGGATCCCTGGTGGCATACGCCCTCGAAATCATCTCCATCGACCCCATCGAGCATGGTGAGTGAGTGAACATTGTCACGGAGGCACCTCGGCTGTGGTCCGTTCATCAACTCGTAAGGCGCCTCTCCCCTTTCCCCCTCTAACGGCCCCCGAGGCGATTAGCAGTAGGGTCGCTGGAAGCATACGCCTTGGATGTTATCTGTATTGATCCCATCCCGCTCCCCACCCGTTTTGCCCTTCTTTCGCCACACTTTTCTGCCTCTTCTCTTCACAGGGCTGTACTTCGAGCGCTTTCTGAACGAGGAGAGGCTGGCGCCTCCCGATATTGACTCCGATTTCTGTCCCCTCGGGCGGGATAAGGTGGGTGCTTTGGCATGATGTGGTTGCTGTGATGTGGTGTGTGGTGCTGTGAGGTGGTGTGTGATGGAGGTTGAATCCATACAAGGATTTCTGCTCATTCGTAGTGTGCGCATATGGAGTGCTGGCACAGCAGATAACTGGCACGTTCAGCTGCGGGAACAAGGGTAATCAAAGCACGACACAATGACACGTACTGCCTCCTCCACTTGCACGTGATCTCAGCAGATGCAATTCCCCGGCCCCCCTGTCACTGCTGCACCCCGTCTCACTGCTGCACCCCGTCTCACTGCTGCACCCCGTCTCACTGCTGCACCCCGTCTCACTGCTGCACCCCGTCTCACTGCTGCACCCTGTCTCACTGCCCTTTGCCTGTCCCCGTCAGATCCTGGCATACATTGCAGAGAAGTACGGCGCTCACAGGGTGGCACAGATTGCAACCTTCAACCGCATGGGGTCGCGTGCTGTGCTCAAGGACGTGGGGCGCGACATGCAGATTCCTTTGAACATCATGAACGAGCTTACGAAGCTGGTGAGAGGTGGAGCTTGTGGGAATGGTTCGTGCTGATTGCAATTGTTGATGTGCTGTGCTCAAGGACGTGGGGCGCGACATGGAGATCCCGTTGAACATCATGAACGAGCTTACTAAGCTGGTGAGAGGGATGAGACTGAGTTAAAGGGTCGGTGGTTTAACCGCATGTTATCGCGTGCTGTGCCCAAGGACGTGGGGCGCGACATGCAGATTCCTCTCAACATCATGAACGAGCTTACAGAGCTGGTGAGAGGGGGATAACGAGAGGGGGCGCAATTGTGAATAGTTGGATGCGTTCATGTACTGTGAAGGACGTGGGGTGCGACATGGAGATTCCTTTCAACCTGCTGTACGAACGTACGAAGCTGGTGAGTGAGAGAATGGAAGAAGGTAAGGCAGGGTGTGGGACATACTGCTGGTCAGGACATGGGGCGAGACATGGCAATGCCTATGAACATCCTGACAACCAGGGTGCGTAATGGTAACGGGGGTGCGTAATGGTAACGGGGGTGCGTAATGGTAACGGGGGTGCGTAATGGTAACGGGGGTGCGTAATGGTAACGGGGGTGCGTAATGGCAACGGGGGTGCGTAATGGTAACGGGGGTGCGTAATGGCAACGGGGGTGCGTAATGGCAACGGGGTTGCGTGATGGTAACGGGGGTGCGTAATGGTAACGGGGGTGCGTAATGGTAACGGGCTCTGCAATGCCCTTCAATGCCCTCCAATGCCCTCCAATGCCCTCCAATGCCCTCCAATGCCCTCTGAATCCAATCTGCACGTGTGCATCGATGGCAGGTGCCAGTGGAGAGGGGCAAGGCAGTGTCCCCGCTGCTAGTGGAGCACGCTCATCGTGGCCTCAACTCCCCGCTGCTAGTGGAGCACGCTCATCGTGGCCTCAACTCAACTCCCTGCGCCCTCTCCACCTGCTATGCGCTGCATGACTTGCCTGACCCATGCCACGTGTTTCTCCACCACGTGTGCATTGAGTGCAGGTGCCGGTGGAGCGAGGCAAGGCAGTGTCACTGAAAACCCTCATGGCGGAAGATACTCCCTTCAGGAGACGCGTGGAGAGGGACGGAATGGTGAGTACGGTGCAGTGCGGTGCAGAGCAGTATGGGGATGGATGAGCAGGTGAGTGTGGAATGTGCATGGAGATGGTTGCAAGGGTGAGCTCCTTCTCCCTGCTCGTATTATTGTGCGGTTCAGTACACTGTCTCTTTCCTTCATATCGAATCATTGCAAATTCCTCACACCTTCCTGGACACCCAACCAGCCCAAAATTGATATTCATGTCCACAAACACGTCTCGTCTGTACATACACAGCTCTTACAATGCGTGGAGTTGGGGCAGCTGTTGGAGGGCACGAACCGCTCCTTCGGTGTGCATGCAGCCGGCATCATCATCTCGCCCGCCTGCTTCCCCCTCTCCCAGGTCAGTCAGCTGCACTCTTCCCCCTCTCCCAGGTCAGTCAGCTGCACTCTTCCCCCTCTCCCAGGTCAGTCAGCTGCACTCTTCCCCCTCTCCCAGGTCAGTCAGCTGCACTCTTCCCCCTCTCCCAGGTCAGTCAGCTGCACTCTTCCCCCTCTCCCAGGTCAGTCAGCTGCACTCTTCCCCCTCTCCCAGGTCAGTCAGCTGCACTCTTCCCCCTCTCCCAGGTCAGTCAGCTGCACTCTTCCCCCTCTCCCAGGTCAGTCAGCTGCACTCTTCCCCCTCTCCCAGGTCAGTCAGCTGCACTCTTCCCCCTCTCCCAGGTCAGTCAGCTGCACTCTTCCCCCTCTCCCAGGTCAGTCAGCTGCACTCTTCCCCCTCTCCCAGGTCAGTCAGCTGCACTCTTCCCCCTCTCCCAGGTCAGTCAGCTGCACTCTTCCCCCTCTCCCAGGTCAGTCAGCTGCTCTCTTCCCCCTCTCCCAGGTCAGCTGCTCTCTTCCCCCTCTCCTCGCTCCTCCTCACGCACTCTTCCACTCTCTACATTCTGTACTGTTTCTTTTCCTCCCCTTCTCCCTTTCTCCATGCCATCCGCTCCCATGCATCCCTCTATGGCATCAATAGACCACCCCACCCACTCCACGAACTCAAGAAATCTGAAACCCAACCCCCCACCCCTGCCAGGTGGTGCCAGTGCAGCAGCATGCACCAGGCAAAACCTCCGCTCTTGTGACCCGGACGTAGAACGTGTGGGTCTGCTCAAGTTCCACATGCTGGGGCTTGGCGCAAGTCCTGAGAGACAGAGGCGTCTGAAACCCTGAAACCCAAACCCCCTTCCTTCCTCCCAGGTGGTGCCAGTGCAGCACGCACCAGGCAACCCCTCCGCCCTGGTCAGCCAATACGCCATGGATGACGTAGAACGCCTGGGTTTGCTCAAGTTTGACATTCTCGGCCTCCGCAACCTCACCACGGCCCACCTCGCGCGCCTGCTCGCCCAGCGCACGTACGGCGTGACCCTCCCTGTGATAGAGAAGCTTCCTGTGGAGAACCGGGCGACATTTGAGCTGCTGTCAGGGGGCGACGTGGACGGGGTGTTTCAGCTGGAGGCGTCTCCTGGGATGAAGAAGGTGGTGCGGGCGCTCAAGCCCTCGTGCCTCGCGGACATCTTCGCCATTGTCGCACTCTATCGGCCTGGGTGAGTGAGTAACCAGAGAGAGGAGAGGTGCTGGCATGCGGGGACGTGGACGGGGTGTTTCAGCTGGAGGCGTCTCCTGGGATGAAGAAGGTGGTGCGGGCGCTCAAGCCGTCCAGACTCGCGGACATCTTCGCTATTGTGGCTCTCTACCGTCCCGGGTGAGTATCCAGAGGAGGGATGACGGTGCATCTACAACCTGGGCACTCCATTCAGCGATTGAGAAACGTCCAGTTGAGGCACTGGGAGGGAGGGGGCGACGTGGACGGGGTGTTTCAGCTGGAGGCATCTCCCGGCATGAAGAAGGTGGTGCGTGCGGGCGCTCAAGCCGGCGTGCCTCCGCGGATATCTTCGCCATCATGGCGCTCTATCAGCCTGGTTGAGTGACCAGAGGAGAGGGATGAGTAGATCCGCCCCGGATCATGCGCATGGCATGGAAATTCACTCCCCTTGCCCCCTATTTTCCCCCTTTTTCGCCCCTTTATCCCGACCCAGCCCCCTTGATGTAGGCCTGATGGACAGCTTTTGAGGCGCCTCAAAAGTCGCCTCAAAAGTTTTGAGGCGCCTCAAAAGTCCCTTCATCCCGACCCAGCCCCCTCGATGTAGGCCTGATGGACAGCTGCATCAACCGCACGCACGGGCGCGAGCCAGTCTCCTTCCAAACGCCTGCCCTGGAGCCCATTTTAATGGGGACATGTACCAGGAGCAGATCATGCGCATGGCCCACGACCTGGCGGGGTAGTCCCTGGGGCAGGCAGGCCAACATGCTGCCTGGCCTCTCATTCCTCTTACCCCGCCTTGCCCCCTTCATGCCCACCCCCACTATCCTCTGAACCCCCCACCAGCCCTCTGGATGCGGGTCTAGTCGATCGATACATGAACCGCAAGCACGGACGGGAACCAGTGTCTTTCCAGACCCCCAAGCTGGAGCCCATCCTGAAGGAGACGTACGGAGTGCTGCTGTACCAGGAGCAGATCATGCGCATGGCACGGGACCTGGCGGGGTACTCCCTGGGGCAGGCGGACATGCTGCCTACACTCCCCCACTCCTCATCCACATTCTCCCCCTTTTGTTCCCCTGTTTCCCCCTTTCACATGCCCAACCCTTCTGCCCACTGCCCCCTCGACCAGCCCTTTGGATGCAGGCCTGGTGGACAGATACATCAACCGCAAGCACGGACGGGAACCAGTGTCTTTCCAGACCCCCAAGCTGGAACCTATCCTGAAAGAAACGTATGGAGTGCTGCTGTACCAGGAGCAGATCATGCGCATGGCACGCGACCTGGCGGGGTACTCCCTGGGGCAGGCGGACATGCTGAGGCGCGCCATGGGGAAGAAGAAGCAGGAGGAGATGGTGGCGCACCACGAGCGATTCGTGGAGGGCGCCGTGGAGAGAGGCGTTGAGAGGGCCGTGGCAGAGGATTTGTTTGAACAGATGGTGAAATTCTCGCAGTACTGTTTCAACAAGTCCCACAGTGCAGCGTACGGGTATCTCACATACGTGACGGCCTTTCTCAAGGCCAACTACCCTCTGCCGTACATGGCCGCTCTTCTCTCTACCTCCATGCTCGAACCCCCCACCCTCCGCCGCTACGTCAACTCCTGCCGTGCTGCTCACATTAATATCCTTCCGCCGTCGGTCAACGCATCGGCTTATGATTTCTCTGTGGAGCTTCTTAAAACGGGGATGGAGGGGGGGGAGGAGCGGGAGGAGGGTTTTGGACAGGTGTCACCGTCGGGCCCTGCCACGTCAGCTGCGGACGGCGGGATTCGGTTCGGGCTGGCGGGCATTCGGGACGTCAGCAGGGCGGCGGCGGAGGAGATCATCGGGAAGCGGGAGGCGGGCGGCAGGTTTGTCAGTATTCAGGACCTGGTTGACCGCATTGACTTGGGCATGTGGAAGAGACCCACTATACATGCCCTTGCCCACTCAGGCGCTCTGGATTGCTTAATCCTGAGGGAAGGAGATGGAGGAGGAGGGGGGTACAGGGGAGGAGAGGGAGGAAGGGTTGGGAGTGAGGGAGTGATGGGAGAAGTGGGAGAGGGTGACGGGGTGAGAGGGGGAGCGAGAGAGGCGGAGGGGGTGGAAGGAGGAGAGAGAGGGGGGGATGTGGGAGAGGAGGTGTATGTGGATAGGAAAGGGTTGGCGGAGCTGCTAGAAGGGCTGGTGAAGGGGCGAAAGGAGAGGATCAAAGCAGAGATTAAGGCTGTTGCCAGGCGGGAGAGAGAGCTGGTGATGCAGCAGCGGCGAGAGGAGAAGCAGCGGGAGAAGGCTGCAAAGGAGTTGCAGAGGCAACAGGAGAGGCAGGCCCGGGAGGAGAAGAAGGAGCGGGAGAGAGTGGAGAGGGAGAGGAAGAGAGAGCAGCAGAGGATTGAGAGGGAGCAGAAGAAGCTGCTGCAGGGGAAGGGGAGAGCGAGCAAGGTGGAGGCTGCTGTGGTGTTGGGTGATGTGCCTCTTGTGGCTGATGCTGCTGAAAGCAGCAACTATGCTGGAGCCAGCAGTGGCACCAGCAGTAGCACTGATAGCTTTGATCGTGACACCATCGGCAGCAGCAGCAGCAGCAGCAGCAGCAGCAGCAGCAGCAGCAGCAGCAGCACCACCACCACCACCACCACCACCACCACCACCGGGAGCACTGACAGCACTGTCACCATCAGCAGCAGCAGCAGTGACACGAGTGACAGCATCACCCCGACTCCCAGCAGCGTCACTCTCTCCTCCTTGGATGGTGCATTTGCTACTAGCACAGGTGTTGAAAATGCCAACTCACCAGACGAATCCAGCAGTGCTGCAGCTGCAGGTGCATCCAACGGTGCAGTCACCACCACTTCTCCACCTCCAGCCACGGCCCCATTCCCCACTTCTCCTCCCGCCGCCACCACCACCCCTGCATTCATCATCCCCCCTCCTCCTCCCCTCCCCCCGTCCGTCACAGCAGCACTCATCCTGCGACGGCCCCTGCAGGAGGAGGAGATGGTGGAGAGGCTAGCACAGGAGAAAGCCCTGCTAGGCTTCTACGTCACACAACACCCCGTGGAGGCACTCCTCCCCTCCCTCCCCACGTGGCTCTCTCTCACGCCCCTCGCCTCCTGCGCCCACGTGGGCTTGACTAAGGCTCTGGAAGACAGTGCAGCTGCTTCTGCTTCTGCGGCGGCGAAAGGTGGCGGGAGGAGAGGGAAGGCCGGTGGTGGGAGGGGTAAGGGTGGGAAGGACGGGCCGTCGGTTGCGGTGGTGGCGATGGTAGAGGCAGTGAATGTGCGCATGACTAAGAATAGTAACAAGCAGATGGCGAATCTCCAGTTGGATGATGGGACGGGGCAGCTTGAGGCTGTGGTGTTCCCGGACGTGTTTGCCAGGTACGGGTCGAGCCTGAGCAAGGGTGCGACGGTGCTGGCGTGGTGTACTGTTGATGTGGAGTTGGATGATTCGCCTGCCGCTGCTGGGAGCGGTGATAGCAGCAGCAGCAGCAGCAGCAGCAGCAGCAAAGGAGAGGGGTCGGCAGATGGGGCAACCGGACAGGAATCATTGTCATCTTCAGCAGCAGCCGGAGCAGAATCAGACGCAGAAGCACAGGATGACACCTCCCCCGGACACACCCTCTCCCTGGCAACCCCCTCCCTCAACCGAGTCCAGCTGGTTGTGCAAGCCGCCGTGCCCACCAGCACAGCTCAGTTTGTGCGTATAGACGTGACTGAGCAGGAAGCAGGAGATCCCGAGCACGTGCACGCACTCAGGTCCACGATTCAGCAGGTGAGGCGCGATGCGGACAACAGGCACGAGGCGCGGGTGATGCAGCAGGACGTGCAGAGGGATGTGGAGCCTCAGGTGCAGCACTGGGTGCGCAAGCACAGGGCGGGTGCACCTGGTGCTGTGCCGCTGGTGTTTCGTGTGTGGCCTGACACTGATGCCATGCCTAGGGAGATCGTTGCTAAGAAAGGGTCGACACCGTATGGGGAGTGGGCGGGTGAGGGGTGGGGGGGGTCTGGCTGGGGTGGTGGGAAGCGGGAGGGAGAGGAGTTGAGGCGGGAGAGGGAGAGCAGGAAACCGAAGCATCTTATACGGTCAGACGAGGTATTCTTTGTGGAGGACGCGGAGAGGGCAGTAGAGGAGCTGGGGTATGCGGGGTACCGGGCACGGGTGGTGCCGATTTTGTCGCATGAGTGCCGGGAGAAGAGGAGGGAGGAGGGCCTGTGTGGGTACGATGAGCAACTGGTGGAATAGTTTCTTGTCCAAGTGAGAGGGTGTGTGTGGACGAGCACCGCGCATTCGTGCGAACCTGCACTCATCATGTTCCCAACAGAAGGATGTTGATGTTTCCAATCATTTTCCATTTTTCAATGAATGTGGGCTTTCTTTAATGTTTCATTCGTAAATGGTGATATTGTACAGCCATGTGTCGTATCCCAATCAAGCAATTGCGGTACACACCCATACCAAACGCTGTAGCGGGTGCCACTCATAGCGACATTCGGTTTGCGAAGATCCAGCTATGGATCCACGTGCCTCGTCACGAAAATCCGAGCCAAACCACGATGTACACCAGAGTACCGAACCGTACCTCGAGATCCTGGTCTGGGTGTTCCCTTGGGAATCTCCTGCTTTGGCTCTTCATTATTGAATCCAGCAGGGCTTGCTTGGCGATTTGGATTCTCTGGTTGTCGCAATTTTTTAGGCCCAGGGAATGCTCCGCTGTATCAGCGTGGAGTAGGATTCTGAGAGTGAGGAAGAACTGACGTTTCCAGATCCTTAGTATTCGTTCTTTAGGACGAGCGTCAGCTGCGTATCGGAATTCTTTAGTCCGCGAAGATGAGGAAGCGCGATTTAGGAATCCTTCTGATATCGGCGTTCGCGGTTTTCATCTGTCTTCAGGTACCCTACTACTGTCCGTCACCATCTCGCCCGGAGCGAAGACGGTCAACCGTCACCGTCTCTTATTTAAACGATCCGTTCCCGCATTTCAGATACCGTGTCTCAGTTTTAAGAGTAAAGTTACTGCCTTCAAATCTTCCGAATATCAAATTATGCTGTCACCGATCTCACGTTGCGTCTCCGTCTTCCCTATTCGAACGACCCTGCATGAGAGCAGCTTCACGTTCAGGAGAGTGTGGTTCACGTGCACCGGGTCGGCTACAGCCAGGAGCTCGAAGCGCGTGTGTTCCCTTTGCTACTATCACATAAACTCGTGTGCATTTCCTCTTTTTCCTTCTTCCGCGTTTCCCTGATTGAGCCGAGCAGCACGAGAGCAACTTCACGTTCAGGGAGGCGTGGTTCCACGTGGATCGCGACGACTACAACCAGGAGCTCGAGGCGCACGTGGGTTCCCTTTGCTACCATCATCAAATTCGCGACTTTTTCCTCGCGTTCTTTTTTCCTGCGTCCCCCTGATTGAACCAAATCAGCATGAGAGCAACTTCACGTTCAGGGAGGCGTGGTTCCACGTGCACCGCGACGACTACAACCAGGAGCTCGAGGCGCACGTGGTGCCGCCGCCCGTGGTCTTCGATCTCAACGGCGACGGCCGCAAGGAGGTCATTCTCGCCACCAGGGACGCGCGCCTGCAGGTGGGGACGCGTGGATTGCCTGTAGGGAGTGTGGATTGTAGGGGATGTGGATTGCGGGTCGTCCCCTCGTGGTGTTCGATCCCAGCGGGGACGGCCGCAAGGAGGTCATCCTCGCCACCCGGGACGCTCGCTTGCAGGTACGGCATCGATTGGCTGTACGGGTGGATTAAACAGACAATCCGCAAATCTTTCTCCTCATTTCCACTGTCTGCCATCATTAAAGTCAGTGACGTGTAAATCTGTGGCAAATCTCACGAATCTGTGGTGTCCTTCTGTGTCTCCGCGGTGTTGCTCCTTGTCTGTGCAAATTCTTAACCGATTGAAAGTTAGGATTCTGTGGTAGTCAGCTGCGTCTCCCTCCCCGTGTGTCCCGCGTTGTCCGCGCAGGTGATCGAGCCGTTCACGCCGCCGTCAGGCGAGTCGTACCATCCAGTGCGCGTGCTCAAGGAGGTCTCGCTGCAACCCGGCCAGGTGCACTCCTTCCCCCCCCCCCCTCACTGCTTGCTGCTCGCTTCTCTCCCCACCCCAGCTTTGTCCAGCCAGCCCACTGAGCCCATATCATACCGGTAGAAACCACCCACCTCTATGGTCAACGTTACCATTCATCATTGTGCTCTGTAAATGATGAATAAGGAGTGAGTGACGTAGCGTACGAACCCGCCGTTTCCCCTACTCCTCAAATCAGGTGGAGCTGAACCCAGCGGGGCACCAGGCAGTGGCGTTCGCGGTGGGGTATCTGGACCCACCGTCCTTGAAGCCCCCCAAGAAGGCGGGCAGCGGCAAGGCGGTGAGCGTGCCGCGGCGCAAGGCGGTGGTGGCGGTGGTGACGGCGGGATGGGCGGTACTGTGCTTCGATCACAACCTGAAGCTGTTGTGGGAGACCAGCGTGCAGCACCACTTCCCCCACGGCGCACGCCACAAGGAGGTGGCGGTGCTGATTGCCAACCACACCATGCACCGGGGGGATCGAGGCGTTGTGATTATCGGCGGATCCATGGAGTCAGACCCGCTGGTGAGGGCTCTGGTTCGGGGTAGCTTCGGAGTAGGTTTGGGGCAGGTTCGGATAAGGTATGGAGTGGGCTTTGACTGGGCTTTAGGGTTTGCGCTGCTGGGTGTGTGGGCGTGTGGGGGTGGGTGGTACTGTGCTTCGATCACAACCTGAAGCTGTTGTGGGAGACCAGCGTGCAGCACCACTTCCCGCACGGCGCATGCCACAAGGAGGTGGCGGTGCTGATTGCCAATCACACCATGCACCGGGGGGATCGAGGCGTCGTGATTATCGGCGGATCCATGGAGTCAGACCCGCTGGTGAGGTCGCTGGTTTGCAATAGGTGTGGAGTAGGTTCGGGATAGCTTTGGGGTAAGGCGCTCTGGTGAGGCGCTGGTTTGGGATGCGTTTGTTGTGGGCTTTGGGGCTTCCTTTTCCTGGTGGCATGGGTTGTTTTCGGTTAATTCTGGAATGTTTCGTCCTCTATATCTCTTGGGTTCTGCATGTGTGATTTGGTGCTCTACCATGCGACAGTAGGTTGCGCTGCGTGCGGGTATGGGAACCCATGAATGTACTGTACTCAAACATGTCTTTGTGTCGGTGTTTCCTACCTACCCGTTGTGTGCAGCAATTCGAGGATCCAGTGGAGGAGGAGGAAGCGGAGGAGGAGGGCGAGGAGAAGCACCGCAAGGAAGCCGGGGACAAGGATGTGAGCACCCGTCCATCCACCCATGCCATCCCATGCCAGCCACCCCTGTGCTTCTCGCTCCCGATGCACTCTTCATCCCTTTCCTACACGTACTGCCCTGCCATTTCCGGTTTGAGTGTGCTGTCACAGCCCCTCTCCTCACCTTCTCCTGCGCTTTCTGCGCGCTCACTCCCTGACGGGCATTTATCCGGGTCTGTGTTGTGCTTCTTCCCGTGCTGTGCATCCCCCTCCCTCCTGTGCGAGCAGGAGCTGGAGGATGTGTCAGAGGGGGCGGCAGGGGTGAACGAGCGCCACTTCTCCTACTACGCCTTTGATGGTGCCACTGGCGCCATGCGCTGGAAGCATGACAGCAAGGTGGGGGAGGGCTTGACGGCAAGGTGGGGAAGGGTGGTATGGGCGACATGCTGTGCCATGACATCACGCAGCACGATGACCGGGGTGCAGCACGCCACTTTTCCTACTACGCCTTTGATGTGGCCACGGGCGCCATGCGCTGGAAGCACGACAGCAAGGTGTGGCGTAGCATGATCGCTTGGGTGCAGCACTGGGCAGGGTGCTGAGGGGTGGAATTGCGGGTGGGAATGGTGCGGAAGGGTTGGAATGGCTGCCACGGCTCCTCATGGTGAACACAATGCTGGATTGCTTTCCGCCATCCTATCCCCTCTCAAAGGGCCTCTCCTCCATTGTCTCGTGCCGCTGCTGCGTCAGCTCTGAGCAAGCACCTGTGTCTTTCAGTGTGCTCGTCCCACCTCCTAAAGAGGTCATTCGAACTCTCCCCTCCCTCCTCTTCCACTTCGCCCTGCCTCGCCCCTTCCCCCTCGTCCCTCCCCTCCCTTCTCCCACGCCCTACCCACCCCCCAAATCCCTTGAGAGCAGGACTTCCATCGGGACATGTCAGCGCTGAGCCAGCAGCTGTTGCCGCAGCACAACTACAAGCTCGACGCCTCCTCCCTCTCCTCCCGCCACTTCGGCGAGGTAAGAAGTCATGCCCTGCCCTGCCCTCCCCCGTGCCCCCCCGCCCTGCCCGTTCCTGTCCTCTCCCCTCCCTGCCCCGCCCTCCCTCTCCCTGCCCTGCCCCGCCCTGCCCTGCCTTGCCCTGCCCTGCAATGCCTTTTTTTTCTGGTGTCCCGCTCAAGCGTTATCTGTGTCCGGATTCAAATACATGGAGTGCGTTTGGCTATTTTTTTTCCATGATGTTCTTGCTCTCTCCTCTAACCGCCACCCCCCTCGAACCCTATTCATGCCATACCATACCACTCCATACCAAGCGCTTACCGCACTCTACCGTGCCGCACCATGGCTTGTGTGTGAGCAGATGGAGTGTCGCGAGTTCAGAGAGTCCATTCTGAAGCACCTGCCGCACCGATGGGTGAGTGCCGCTGCTCTTTCCCCAGCTCTTATGTGATGCCACGCCACGTGCCACGTGCTGCCATGTGCTGCCTTGTGCTGCCATGTGCTGCCGTGTGCTGCCATGTGCTGCCGTGTGCTGCCATGTGCTGCCGTGTGCTGCCATGTGCTGCCAAGTGAATGGTATGCCTAGTTCACCTCAGTGTTTTCCTGTGCTTCCACGTCATACCGCACAAAACTGAGGGCCTGCATCTACCTTCCCTCCTCATATCCCCCCACCTCCCCCCCCCCCGCCAGGACCATCGCCATGACACGCGCTTCGAGCTCGCCAGCATCCACCGCCATCGCCGCCGCATGCACAAGCGCCTCCCGGGGAGTGGGCGGCACGGGGCGCCACATCACGCAGCACACCCCCACGGCACGCCCCCCCGGCTGCTGGCAGGGCGCGACCATGAAAGGAACGTGTTTGCGCGGGCCGTGGGGAAGGCTGTGGATGCTGCTGGGTCCACCAAGAAGGCCAAGGTGAGGAGAAAAAGGGGGGAGAAAAGGGATGCGGAGGGAAGGGATGGGCGGGAGGGGAGGGGGAGAAAAGGGATGGGAGGGAATGGAGGTTTCTAGGCAGTGGCGCCACAACACACAGCCCACCCACCCCCATGGCATGCTCACCAAACTGCTGGGTGGGCGAGAGCATGAGAGGAGCGTGTTTGCCTTGTAGTCATTCACCTCTACTTGGGTCGCACCATCTGCAAGCTGTCTCCGTCCCTGTCAACTCAAGAACCACTTGTACACATGCCCATGCTCTGGCCGTCCTTTCTCTCCTCCCTTTCCTGCTCTCGTTCTCTGCTTCCCTCCCTCCTGCCCTTCCCCCACCCTATCTGCACCACAGCACGCGCAGCACCACGTGCACGGCAATGCATCGGCGCACCACTGGTGGGCGCACAACGCGGTGATAGCGCACCTGGAGGAGGGCATCGAGGTCATCCACCTCTACTCCGGGCGTACCATCTGCAAGCTGCTGCTGCCCGACCATGGCCTGCACGCTGATGTCAATGGAGACGGCGTTCTTGATCATGTGCAGGTGAGATGCGGTGGGTTTCGGTGCAGTGCAGTGGGGCACAGCGCGGTGCAGGGGAGAATAGGGGGCATAGAGGTGATCCATCATCCACCTCTACTCCGGGCGCACCATCTGCAAGCTGCTGCTGCCCGACCATGGCCTGCACGCTGATGTCAATGGAGACGGGGTGCTGGACCATGTACAGGTGAGATGCGGTGCAGTGCGGTGCAATGGGGTTGGATGGGGCGTGCAGTTGGGGAGGTGCGGTGCAGTGGAGAATGGTGTGGGCACTGAGCATCTGCATTGAGAAGTTGTGCTGGACCACGGCCCACTCCAGCATCCCCCCCATGTGACCCACCGCCCTCCAGTGCCTTGCACCACACTCACCCAATGTCGCACCATCCCCTTGCCGCATGTGTCCGTTCCCTTGCCCCATGCACCATCTGCAGGCATCAGGCGCATTGGGAGACGAGCTGTTCACGTTTGGCAGTGAGGAGGAGGCATCAGAGGTGGTCAAGTCCTGCTGGACCATGGCGCTCTCCGGCATCCCCCCCACCCAACCACTCTTCAACGGCTCTATCTGCCGCCCCCACGCCTCGCTCTTCAACCTCGCGTGAGTGCCTGCACTGCACCCCATGAGACTCGGCCCATGTTGAGTTGAGTGGTGTCGAGGCTCATCAGAGGAGGTTAAGTCCTGCTGGCCCACGGCTCTCTCTATGGCATGCTGTTAAATCATAAGTACCCCTCACAGCCTCTCTTCAACGGCTCCATCTGCCGCACCACGCCTCCCTCTTCAATTTCGCGGCAGTGCCAGCCTCCCGCCTGGGGCAGTGCCAGCCTCCCGCCTGGGGCAGTGCCAGCCTCCCGCCTGGGGCAGTGCCAGCCTCCCGCCTGGGGCAGTGCCAGCCTCCCGCCTTGGGCAGTGCCAGCCTCCCGCCTTGGGCAGTGCCAGCCTCCCGCCTTGGGCAGTGCCAGCCTCCCGCCTTGGGCAGTGCCAGCCTCCCGCCTTGGGCAGTGCCAGCCTCCCGCCTTGGGCAGTGCCAGCCTCCCGCCTTGGGCAGTGCCAGCCTCCCGCCTGGGGCAGTGCCAGCCTCCCGCCTTGGGCAGTGCCAGCCTCCCGCCTTGGGCAGTGCCAGCCTCCCGCCTTGGGCAGTGCCAGCCTCCCGCCTTGGGCAGTGCCAGCCTCCCGCCTTGGGCAGTGCCAGCCTCCCGCCTTGGGCAGTGCCAGCCTCCCGCCTTGGGCAGTGCCAGCCTCCCGCCTTGGGCAGTGCCAGCCTCCCGCCTGGGGCAGTCATGCAGTTGTTGCGAGGCTTGTTGGCAGCTCTTGCTTGTGAGTCTCTCGTCTCTGAGTAGGAACAGTAGAAAGAGGGCATGCCACAGGGCAACAGCAAGCGGTAGATTGTTTTGGAGAATTCTCAAAAACAATCTACAGCGTCTCTGAGTAGGTACAGTAGAAAGAGGGCATGCCATAGCAGTTCTGGACAATAGCGAGCGGCACTGGTGGCTCATGCTCTGCCATCCCCAACCCCCTTCTCCTCTCCTGCTGCTGCCCCAAACACCCTCCTGTTGTTTTGTTCTCTCTCTTCCCTCTCGTCCCTTCCTCCTTCCATTGCAGTTCTGAGTTCCAGGAGCAGTGGAACGAGCACGCGACAGGGCAGCAGAGGGTGGGCGTGATGGCGCCCAAATTGCTGCTCATACGCTCTTCCCCTCCTCCCCTCCTCCCCTCCTCCCCTCCTTCCCTCCTTCCCTCCTCCCGTCCTCCCCTCCTTCCCTCCTCCGCTCCTCTCCTGTCGCAGTTCTGAGTTCCAGGAGCAGTGGAATGAGCACGCGACAGGGCAGCAGCGGGTGGGAGTGGTGGCGCCCATTCTGCTGCCTCGCAGGGACCGCCACCGCCGCCACCAGCGCCGCCATGGAGATGTCATCTACTTCAACAGCCGAGGCGAGGTGAGCAGGCAGTGAGTGAGCAGACATACGGTCCATGGCCGGCAGACATATGGTCCATGGCCGGCAGACATATGGTCCATGGCCGGCAGACAACGGTCATGGTTGAAGCGAGGAGATGCCGTCTACTTCAACAGCCGAGGCGAGGTGAGACCCAGCATACAGGCATGCAGGCTTGCTTGGTATCCACGTCAGCACTGATCCTAGTGGACCACTGCACACCCCACAACCTGCATCTGAGGCCCCTCTGAAGCCAGCTGTTTCATGTCCGCTTTTGCTACCCCCTCTTTTCCCACAGGTCACCTCGTATGCGACTGAAGCGCTGAGCAGCAAGGGACCACACGGGCACGTGCGGTGGCAGATCAGCACAGACGCCAACTGCACCCCCGCTGACCCCGCGGCCTCCTTTTGATGCCCTTCTGAAGCTGTTTCTTGTCCGCTTTTCCACCCTCCCCCCCCCACTCCCTTGCGTCCCCGCCAGATCACCTCATATGCGACTGAGGCCCTGAGCAGCAAGGGACCGCACGGCCACATGCGGTGGCAGATCAGCACAGACGCCAAGTGGACCCCCGCCGACCCCGCAGCTGCCTTCGACTCCTCCGCTCCCCCGGCCCACGTGCCCTCCCTGCACGCCATGGCTCTTAAAGCCGGGGGACGGCCGGAGGTGATTCTGGCGGTGGGGGATAACGAGGCGGTGTTTGTGTCCCCTGGGGGGAAGATCCTGGGGACGCTTGCGCTGCCGACGACACCCACAGAGCCGATTATTGTGGCGGATTTCAATGGCGATCGGCTGAATGACCTGATTATCGTCACTGCCATTGGCCCGTACGGGTTCGTTCAGGTGCGCTGCTCGTCTCTGCTCATCTCTCCTTGACTAATATTCATTCACTCGTTTCAAAAGAATTGCCTCGTTTTCTGTGTGTGTCCGTTGTGTCATGCTGCCATTGCTGCTTGTACGGTATGTTCCCTGCCACTCAGGCCATACCTCTTTCTGACCCACAACCTCACATGGTCTCACAGGTGCGGCAACCAGGAGCCATGCTGCTGTCCTCGCTACTGGGCTGCCTCGTTATAGTGATGAGTGTCATCTTTGTGTCGCTGCATCTTGACACGCCTCGTGGCGGCAAGCCACGTGGCCGAAGCACTGACTAGGGGGGTGCAATGCAATGCAGCGAACTGTTTGGGAATGTAAAGTGACTAGCACTATGTGACCCTTTACCCGTGAGTAGGCACAAGTTTTAAGAATTTCTGGATGTAAACTCTAGAAAGGCGGGCTTGGGAAGGTTGGCGTGTGGCTGTTCTGTATTGTACTTGTTACAAATTCCTTTACCATTGGTGCAACAGTGTGGGTTAGAAAATGGTAAACCATATATCACGGCTTTTCCAGTAAGGGCGGCAGCGCGTACGCTTTTATCTGGTTAAGAGTAATTCTGTGCGGTTGATCTACTTACATCACGGTGCAAAGCGGTGGAAACTAATAGCCGCTGTGCACCTTTGGAAAACGTTTTAAACCACGACGGATGAACTGTAAGCAAACTGTACATGAACGCACTGGACCCGCCCTAAGGCCGTGTGCACTTAGGGCAAAATTTGTCAGAGTTCGAACATTAACCGCTTTGCACCGTGGCGAAGCGTTTTTTATTAGTATCGTACCGAGTAGAACCTCGCTGAAAGTTCGAACTTAGACAGAAGTTCGAATGCCTAGTGCACACGCCCTAAGGAACCCCGTCAGTTCCTGCGTCGGGAGCCTGGTAGCCACTCGTAACACCTCTGCTATAGTTTCCTCCGTTTCACTGTATCACGTTTGCCTACTCTCTCATCGCATCCCGTCGCGTGCCGCCAATCGCACCGCGACGACAACCGCGCGGGAGCATGGCGTCTCTCCGTCGCCTCGCCTCGTCGCGCGCCCCGCTGCAGCTCCGCTCGCTAATCGCCACCCGAAGCTTCCTTCCGCCTTCGCATACCACCCGCCAAGCAGACCCTCCCTGTTCAGTAGATCCCACCGCTGACCTAAGAATCGCGTCACATTTAAACGGCATTCTCGGCTTTCCGCACATTCCGCTGTTCGCCTCCGCGCCAGCGTCACCTGGACTACCTCCGCTTGAGGCTTCCGCGTCCCCCGTTATCAGTTCCGCTTCCGCTTCCGCCCAACCGCTGCCGTGGGGGGAGCACGCGGGGCCAGTGATGGAGTGCGGGCGCGGGGACAAGCGGACGAGGCGGGGGAAGATCTTCAAGGGGTCGTACGGGAACGCGCGGCGGGACAAGAAGCGGGAGAATCAACGGCTCCGGGAAAAGTGGGAGCTGCCACCTGGCAGCAGCGTTGACACCGTGTTAGTCGGCCGGTAGCTGAGCTGCTGACGTGTCACTGCGCCGGTCACGTGTCAGATGGTGTTTCATGACGTGGCAGCACATCCAGGGCAGCGCGTGCATAGGGATAGGATGATCGGATGAGATTCAATGTCCTGACGTGACGAAGACTGGCGAGGGTGTGTGCGGGGCTAGGCTGCATCTAGAAGCGCTATCCTCGGCTGTTCTCTCTATGCTGTGCAAGCTGTCGTGTGTGTTGCTGCTTTCCTGCTTGTTATTCCACGGTTTGTGCTGCACACATGCTTGCCTAGCAGTTTTTCTTTCCAGGCAGCACACCTGCTCTCCTCTCCTTTCTGCCAGGGTAGGGTGTCATGGTGTGCAGTGAAACAGCCGCCTGACAGTAGCGGCACTAATCCAATCGTGGCGTATATTAATTCTTGCAGATTTAATTCCAAATTTTGCACTGAGATCACATAGTTGGCTGTTGGGCACACAACACAACACAACACAACCCAACCATGGGGTTGGGCTTAAATGAATTATCTCCCAACACAAGGCAGCACCTCCAACTTTCTCCTGTCAAGTCCCACTCCCCTACCTGCCTTTTGACTTGACCAGACGCCTCTCTCTCAGTCGCATTTACCCCTGCCAGCACTCGCACCACCCCCACCACCCACCTCTGCCTGCACCGCTTTCACCAGGTCCAACAGCCGTGGCACCACCTCCCCTAGCTTCCCCCCTGCTGCCTCCCCCCACACACTGCCCCCACGCTGTGCTTTCCCTGTCTCCTTCCCTTCATCAACCCCACCAGCAGCAGAATTGGCAGCTGCAGCCGCAGAAATTGCAGCAACAGCAGCCACAGTAGCAGTGGCACCCGCAGTAGTACCAGCGGTACCAGCACCAGCGCCAGCAGCTGCAGCCATAGCGTCAGATAGCAGTATGTCGCTTAACTGCGGCTCGTCATTTGCTGCTGCAGCTGCTGCTGCCGCCCGTGCTCTTTCCTCTTCAACCCTCCTCTGCTCCGCCTCACCTGCCAATCGCCTCGCTGCTTCCCTCATTACAGTCACACACCGGCCCACAGCAGCTGCCAGCTGGCCTCCTTTGGGGAGTATGGCAGGTGCTGACGTGGCGCTTCTGGGAGGTGCCAGGTGGCTGCTTACGTGGAGGATGCTGAGGAGGAGGGTGAGTGTGCGGGAAGCTGAGGTGGCGACATCCTGTTGGGCGTGAGAGGGCATGGTACAGGCGGAGCAGAGACGCATTTGAGATTTCCCTGGTTATGCTGTTGCACAATGGTAGAACAGCTTGCATATCCCATTCAGTCTGTCCCCTTAGCTAACAAAACTCAGAAGCACAGAGGCACGCACAGAATGCAAACTGCCCGCCACTTACCAGGGTATAACCAAAGCTGTTCTTGTTTCCCATCGTTTCTGAGCCACCATCTCCCTTCGCTGTAAGCACATTCTCCATAGTCACAGCCAGGGAATCTAGCAGCCATGCCACAGGCATTTCGGCCCGGGTCCGGTTCGAATCCAGCAGCAATGGCCACACCCAATCAGCTTCGGCAACCGAACCAGGCAGCGCCGGAGCCAGACCTCCAGGCTCGGCAGAAGGCGGTTGGATCGGCGGAGGGAGCGGGGACGGAAAGGAGGCTCGGGAGGGCAGTGCTTTGGAAACAAAAGTCCGAACCTCTGGAGATGCCTGGAGGAGGACAGAAGCAGGGAAGAAGCAGGCAGCAATGAGGGTCGGTGAGTATGGTTTGAGTGAGTCCGGACATTGGTAAATCCGACCAGAGGCGAGCATAGGCATGTCCAGCAAACATGGTTGGAGAACATCTGAATCCTCATGGATTTGTGTGATCTGATCTGATCTGATCTCAATGAGGAGAGGAGAGTCAGAGCGAGGCTGGGTTGGTGGCATGGGGAGGTTATTGGGCAAGGGCGCTTACAGCAAGGAAGAGCAGCACAGTGTCAAGCCACTGCCATGACGTGGGAAACTGGGATGTGGCTGGTGGTGCTGCGTGTGTGTCTGTGGGCTGCTGTGTGGCGGGAGCGCGTGGCTTGGATGGTGCGAGGGAGGCGTGTGCTGCCACGAGGGCTCGACAGAGACCAGACTGGTGGGAGGCACAGCGGAGCATGTGTGGGTATGGGAGTGGATGACAGGGAATGGGAGGGGATGGGGGATGATGAGAGGGCATGGGGGATCATGGGAGGGCAGATGGAAAGGGAACATACAAAGGGAACAAAACATGTGAGAAAGGGGCACAGAGCAAGTGGGACAGGGGCACAACCGTTCTAGTAAGAGCCTCGACACGAAACCCAACAGTGCGAATGCAGTGAAGTTATCGACCCTGTGATCAGCACGTACCTTGAACCGCGCGTGAGAAGCCTAGTTTTGAGGCGCCTCAAATTATGGAGCCTGTGATCAGCAGCTTTTGAGACGTCTCAAATGTGATGAGCACGTACCTTGATGGCCGAGTCACCAACGGTGCGAGCAACAGTAGGGGAAGGGGCGGAGGAGGCAGCGGATTGGATCCAGAACAGCAGCACCCGCTGCAAGTGGATCAAGAATTGAGCAGTGGCTGTTGCTGTTGTCGCACTTGCTGCTGCCGCTGCAGTGTGATTGGTCGATGCCCATTGCACCAGATCCCCCAACCCAGGGCAAAACGCGTTCACAGCCGCCCAAACCTTCCGCCGAACCAGCTTCTCCTCCAAACCTCCTGCCAAGCCTGGTGCTCTGGCTCCCCCTTTCCCCCCACGTTCATCCTTCCCCTTAGCTGCAGACGCGTTGGGGGATGATGAGGCAGAGAGCTGAGAGATGAGGGTCGAGAGGAGGGCGAGGGAGGTAGCTGTAGCCGTGAGTGCAGGAGGGGTTGGCTTGGCGGGCGGAGGAGTGCTCGAGAGTGGAGAGGGGGAGGAGACGGAAGAAGGGAGGGAGAGGCGAGGGGAGGAGGCAGCAGTGTGGATGGCTTCTATTGTCTGTGATATCACATTGGCACCGGTGGCAGGGTTGGAGGAGGAGGAAGAGCAGATGTGCAGCAGTCTAAGGGAGAGGAGGTCCAGATAGAAGGATAGCAGCACGGGGTATGCACCCTCACCACCCACTGCACCGCATCCCACTCCTCCCTCTGCCACACGCTTATCCCCATCCACACCCTTTTCCACAACCCCATCCCCACCCCCATCAGCATCCCTACCCTCCTTCACTTCCCCACTGCCTATTGAACGGCTGCCAATATTGCCTTCTGTCTGTCCGTCTGTGATTGGCTGTGCGCCAATCAGCACCGCCAGCCTCACCACGTCATCAATCATCCCCGCCTGGCCCCACGCTGAGTCAGCACTGCCGGGAAGAACGCCCTGCAAGCTGCCGACCAATGCCGCCCATTTTGCAAGCAGAACTGGCCAATCAGAGGCATCCTCTACGTGCCTCTGTTGCTGGTGCTGTGGCTGCTGCTGGTGATGGTGGTGATGGTCTAGAGTGGAAGGCAATGAGAGAGACTCGTCTTCCAGGGGGAGCCAATCCGATGCGTCAGATGCTTCTGAGAGGGTAGAATGGAAACAGAACGAGATGGTGTGGGCGTGGGAAGGGACGGGAAGGGAAGAAGGAATTGGAATCGAGGAAGTGAAATGGGGGGAGGGTGGGCTGGAGAGGTTGAACTAGGCGAGTGTGAGAGAGGGATGAAGCAAAGCTGCTTTTGCATGGCACCCAACCAATGAGCAGCATACCGTTTGAATCCGCATGCGACGAAACGAGTTTTGAGGCGTCAGAAAAGCCACAAAGCCACCCACCCAGCCACCCAGCCACCCACCCACCCACCCACCCAGAAAAGGAGCATACCGTCTGAGTCCGTGCGATCGTCTGTCTCCCTCTCTGCATGGCCCACACCGTCAACGTCGGCAGCAACGGGCATGGCACCGCTGGGGCTGCTGCCATTTGCTTCAGGTACAGCTGGTCCTTCTCCAGCCGTCTCACTAGCCTCGTTGCCCAAAGCTCTGGCTTCATTTGACTGAGGTTCGGTAGGAGGTTCGGCCGGAGGTTCGGCAGGAGGGGCGGGGAGCTCCGGAGGGTCGAGGTGCAAGGAGGAGAGGGCAGCTGCGAATGCCTTCACTCCAGCGTTGCCAGGCAGCTTGAAACAGTTTGCGGGCAGCTTCACCAGGAGAGAAGCTGCAGGAAGAAGAAACCCAACCAATCAAACGACAGAGATTCAAACACAACCATGAGAACGGAAACAAAATTGTGATGGGCACCTGCTGAGAAAAAAAAACTACGCAAGCTACCAGGACGCTATCTAAGATTTAAGTCACAATGGGGTGGTAAAGGGCCTGGGGGGTAAAGGGCCTGGGGGGTAAAGGGCCTGGGGGGTAAAGGGCCTGGGGGGTAAAGGGCCTGGGGGGTAAAGGGCCTGGGGGGTAAAGGGCCTGGGGGGTAAAGGGCCTGGGGGGTAGTTCAAGGCCGAAGGGCAAGGAAGAAGTGGCGGCTGAGCTGTCTTCTGGAGACAAGACAATGCTGAAAACAGGATAGTGCATCCGGGGCTGCCGGAACCAAACAACAAACCCCACCCGCAATCTGAGCAGCAGCGTCTGCAAGCTGCCTGCCTGCTGCCCCCTGCTCCTCGCCCACTCCAGCGTCCCTTTCCCCAACTGCCGCTGTCACCCCAGGTCCTTCCCTCCCTCCTTCCCCTACGGCGGCTGCAGAAGCTGCGATGCTGGCGGGTGTGCTGCTTCCGCCTGGCTGTGCCTTGTGCGCGGATGCTGCAACGTATGAGAGGCCTGAGAGGAACCGGCTCGTGATGGGAAAGGACGGAACACCGCTGCTGGTAGTGGTGGTGGTGGTGGTGGTGCTGCTGCTGCTGCTGCTGCTGCTGCTGCTGCTGCCAGTGGATGGGATCAGGTCCACCTGCTTTCTGCACGGGCAGAGATATGCATGCATGTGTGCATGTGCGGACAAACAGACACGCAAGGAACAACTTGAAACCATTACCACCTGATTGATTACCCTTTGCACAGCCCACTTTTCCCTCCCACCCCATCCCCTTTTCCACCATCCTCTCTTCATGATAGTCCGTCCGCATGCCATGCGCCATGCCCCATACCCCATGCCCCATACCCCATGCCCCATGCCCCATACCCCATGCCCCATACCTCATGCCCCATACCCCATGCCCCATGCCCCATGCCCCATGCCCCATGCCCCATACCCCATGCCCCATACCCCATGCCCCATACCCCATGCCCCATACCCCATGCCCCATACCCCATGCCCCATACCCCATGCCCCATACCCCATGCCCCATACCCCATGCCCCATGCCCCATGCCCCATGCCCCATACCCCATGCCCCATACCCCATGCCCCATACCCCATGCCCCATACCCCATACCCCACGCCCCATACCCCATGCCCCATACCCCATGCCCCATGCCCCATGCCCCATGCCCCTTGCCCCTTGCCCCATGCCCCATGGTCCATGCTCCTCGTTCCTAGCATGCCCCCCTCCCGTTCTCCCCTTCCCCTTCCCCTTCTTTTCCCCCCACCTGATAGCTGCAGCGAGCGCAGCCAGGTCGCGCGGCTGCGCGGACGGGAAGTCGAACCACAGGCTGCGGAACGCCCGCTTCGCGCGCTCACCGTCGCTCACGCGCGCCGCCGCCTGCTCCGCTGCCATGATTGCGCGAGCCATGTCCGCCGCCAGCCTGCGCTGCTGCGCGCGCTCCGCCGCCGCTGAAGAATGGGAAAACAGGCGCGCGGGAGGGCGTGGGGAGGAAGTAAAGCAGGGAAGTCGGAAACCGCGCAAGACGGATGTGGAGAAGAACAGCGCGGGGAAAAGGAGGCCTGAGCAGAAAAGGCCTGATGCGCCATGAGCCATGCGCCAAGCGCCGTGCGCGCAGCGACGGTTGCCGCCCGTACCGGGGTCGTTCGCGTCGGCGGCGATGAGCGCGCGCGCCATGTCGACCACAGCGGCGCGCAGCTCCCCCGTCCCCATGACGTCAGCGATTGCGCGCTCCTGCTGCTGCCGGCGCAGGCCCCCGTCCGCCGCATCCCCCCGCCCCATGTGCTTCACCGCGCGTATTAATGGAGGAGGCCTATGGTGGTGAATGCGGAAAAAAACGAGTAGTTGAGGACTGTCTGTACTTCATATAAGTGGAACGGTCTGCTCGAGTGACGGAAAAGCAAATCTTCTGCTTCGTTACGAAGTTCATCATCGAATACATATTTCTGTATGGTGAATCGGCAAGGAAGCGCACATGCTACATTTCTTTCAATAAGCAATTGAAATACACAAAAGTTTAATGTCCTTGATACCCTACAAAAAGGTCCAGAACCATCTCATTAACCTCCACAGGATCATGCCGCAGGTATTTCCCCGGGTGCCTCGAGGCCTCCATGACATGCTTGTAAGCGAGATAAAAGTCGGTGTAGGGTGCGAGCACACGCTGCTTCACCGCCAGTCGTAACTCGTCCCGCAGCGGGCCGGGGTTGACAAGCCACCGCGTTTGGTCGCGATGGATCTCCTCCAACAGGATGTTGAACGCCTTGAATTTTTCCTGAGAGGGTGGATTTGTGGGTGCATGATGGAAGGGAATAGGACGGAAGGGGCAAGGTGGGAAGGGGCACAAGCCATCGTGTTTGGTCGCGATGGATTTCCTCCAACAGGATGTTGAACGCCTTCAATTTCTCCTGAATGGGTGAATTTGCAAGCAGAGGATGGAGGGAGCAGGACGAAGGGGGCAGGATTGGATTGGATTGAGCACCAAGCCACCTTGTTTGGTCGCGATGAATCTCCTCCGACAGAATGTTGAACGCCTTGAATTTTTCCTGATAGGGTGGGTTTGTGGGTGCATGATAAAGAGTGGGTCCAGGCACATGCAAGATGCATGTGGAGGTGAAAAAATGATGGAGCTAGCAAGGGGAGAAAGAGGGAGGAACGGTGAAGCTTTCCTTTCTCTCTCAACTTGAGCATGCTCTTGTGAGGCTGTGTGGAGGGGTCGATGCGGAGAGTGCAGGAGGGAGAGCAGAGACAGAAACACATGTGCGTGACACATACACATACACATACACAGACACATACACATACACAGACACATACACATACACAGACACATACACATACACATACACATACACATACACAGACACATACACATACACAGACACATACACATACACAGACACATACACATACACATACACAGACACATACACATACACATACACAGACACATACACATACACAGACACATACACATACACAGACACATACACATACACATACACAGACACATACACATACACAGACACATACACATACACAGACACATACACATACACAGACACATACACATACACATACACAGACACATACACATACACAGACACATACACATACACATACACAGACACATACACATACACAGACACATACACATACACAGACACATACACATACACAGATACATACACATACACAGACACATACACATACACATACACATACACATACACATACACAGACACATACACATACACAGACACATACACATACACATACACATACACATACACAGACACATACACATACACAGACACATACACATACACAGACACATACACATACACAGACACATACACATACACAGACACATACACAGACACATACACATACACAGGCACAGACACATACACAGACACATACACAGACACAAACACATACACAGACACAGACACATACACTACCCGTAAAGTCAAACTCGGAGGGAGGAGGTCAACTCACATTGTGGTGAACCCACCCACCTTGAGCGTGCTCTTGTGCAGCTGTGTGGAGGGGTCGGACGCGTAGGAGAGAAAGAGCAGAGACACTGACACATAATCGAGAGTTCAAGACTCAGATGGAGAGGAGCTCAACCCACCTTGAGCGTGCTCTTGTGCAGCTGTGTTGAGGGGTCGATACGGAGTGTGTAGGAGAGGCGGGAGAAGCAGAAGCGCAGATACTCGCTGCCATGCTGCCTCACCAACGCTGCCTGCCTCCTCACCCAGTCGTCCCCCACCACCACCCTCATGTCCGACTCCTTCACCTGCAAACGAGCAGAGGAGGAGACGGGAGGCAGTTTTATCAAGGGGCAGAAGCAAGGGTTAAGCACCCAGTCGTCCCCCACCACCACTCGCATGTCCGACTCCTTCACCTGTAGAGAGGGGTGGGGAGGGGTGAGGGGAGGGGGGTTGGCAGAAACAAGAACAATGCACCCAGTCATCCCCCACCGCCACTAGCATGTCCGACTCCTTCACCTGCAGCAAGGGGTGAGTGGAGGGGGGGTTTTAAAAGGGGCAGAAACAAGAACAATGCACCCAGTCATCCTCGACCACCACCCTCATGTCTGACTCCTTCACCTGCAGCGAGGGAGAGAAAGGGATGGGTGGGCAATTTCAACAAGGGGGAAAGACAAGGAAAGACAAGGATCAAGCATCCTTTCATTCCCCACCACAACCCGCGTGTCTGACTCCTTCACCTGCAGCGAGGAGGAAAGGAAGTGTAATTTTGACAAGGTAGTGGATGTTGTTGATCGAAAGAACATCACATTTGAAACGAGAAGAGCGGGCGGGCATTAAAGCGTGGATGCTACTCAGAAGAAACAAAAAAGCCCACCTTGCGCGCCATGTAGTGGATGTTGTTGAGCAGAAACACCTCGCCCTGAGCAGGGTCCCTGTACTGCCTCGCCTTGCCCTGCAGATTCTTCTCCAACACCGCCAGCTGCCACACCACCTTGCGCCCCAGCCCTGCATACTCCGGCACCCCTGCTCCTCTGAACCCCTTCCGTGCTTCTTTCCTCGCCTGCTCCCGCCTCCTTGCTTCCTCCTCGTCCTCCTCCTCGCTCTCACTCTCACTCCCCTCCGTCCCACTCCCCTCCTCACCGCTCCCACTCATCTCACTCCCACTCGACGCACTCGGGGTCTCCAACCCACCTTCTCCCCTCCCCCCATCCCTCCCCCCATCCCTCCCCCCATCCCTCCCCCCATCCCTCCCGCTCCCATCCCTCCCTCCTCCCTTCTTCTTCGAAGCAACCAGCTTGTGAATCTTCCCAGCAGTAGCAGCATCGCCTCGTATAAACAGCCTTTCAAGCGAGTCCCGGTATTCGTAGAGCAGAATCACGTAGTTGACAACGTAGCGCGTGAGCCCATGGATGGTGGCGGTGGCGGGGATGTCTGACACGTCGCTCTCAATGCCCGTTTCAAAGTGTGTGAGGATGGCGTTGATGGCGTGTTCCAGGCGAGTGACCACCAAAGTGAAGTCGTCCCTGAAGCCCGTGCAGGGGCCGTCCCCTGCCACACCATGGGGGGAGGGGAGCAGAGGGAGGGGGGTGGATGTCTGAAGCGCCACTCTCACTGCCGGATTCAAAGTGGGTGGGGATGGCGTTGATGGCGTTCTCAAGGCGCATTACAACCAGGCCGAACTCGTCCCTCACACCCGTGCAGGTTACAACCACCGCCAACAACCCCACCGCACCTTTACACGCAGCATCGAAGTCAGGCTTCAGGCCCCCCATGAGCTCGTAGAGGTCCAGCATGGAGAAGAGTCGCTCCGCCAGGCGCTTGTCGAGAGTGACCGAGCCTGGACGTGCGGAGAGGCTGAGGGAAACAAACTTACCCCACTTCACCGCATTCCACCACATTCCACCGCACACCGTACTCCACCCTACCCCACCGTACCGCACCTTGACACGCAGCATCAAAGTCAGGCTTCAAGCCCGCCACGTTCTCATAGAGGTCAAGCATGGAGAAGAGGCGCTCCGCCAGCCCACCACACCCCACCCCAACCCACACCACTCCACCGCACTTCATCCCACCGCACCTTTGCACGCAGCATCAAAGTCAGGCTTCAGGCCCGCCATGTTCTCATAGAGGTCCAGCATGGAGAAGAGTCGCTCCGCCAGACGCTTGTCGAGAGCAAAGGCCTCGGCAAAGGCGAATATGAATCGCACCGCGGATGACGCCACCTCGTGAAAACACATCTCCGCCAACTGAAGGGGAAGGCAGGTGGGCAAGAGACAAGGGGCAGGGGTCAGGGGTTCGGGGGATGCTGTTTGGGACAGGGAGGCAGAACAATTGAAAAAACAGGATCTGGTTTGAGACGGTCAGGTCAAAGAGACAGAGGGACGCTCCTCGCTTCTCACTCACAAACCTCCACCCATCCCACCCGCCCTTTCCCGCACTCACGTTGCCCTGCCCTTGAAACACCGAGTCACAGAGTCGCCTCTCAGCCAGCAGCACCACGTGCACAGCCAGCCGAGCAAACTGCATCCACGCCTTCACCTTTCCCCATTCCCCATTCCCCATTCCCCATTCCCCTTGCACCCTTCTTCTCTTTCCCCCTTCCCTACTTCCCCCATTCCCGCACTCACATTCCCCTGCCCGTGGAACACGGAGTCACATAGCCTTCTCTCAGCCAGCAGCACGACGCGCACGGCCAGCCGCGCGAACTGCATCCACGCCTTCACGCGCTCCTCCAGCGCCTCCCACCGCACGCCCCCCATGTCCTCGGGGCGGAACTGCCCCGCTGCCAGCTGCTCGAGAGTTCTGTCCAACGCCTGTGGTGAATGGGAGTGCGGACAAGGACCAACACGCGGTGAGCGAGGAAGGCTGGAAAGAAGTCTTCTTCCCTGAACCACAGGAAGCCTACTCTACTCTACTCTACTCCCGCTGCGTACCACTAAGAACGAGGTGGGTCCAACAAGACGGCATGGTGACTTGGGAAACCACTCACCACGTGCGAGACCATACACCACTCATTCCCCCTTCGTCTGCCTCCTCTCAACGGCTCCGTTCGCCCTCACTCCCTCACTCCCTCCCTGCTCGCCCCCTACCTCCCGCCGTTCGCCCTCGCTACCCGTTACTGCCCCTTACGTACTCTAACCCGCACCTTAACTGCTCTCACCTGCCCGGTACCTGCCCCTCACCTGCCTCCGAATTGCGCGGTAAGTCTCCAGGCACGTCTGTCCCAAACCAGCCTGCACCATCCGCCGAGCCACCTCCCGAACCTGCACTGCAGCATGGGGCTGCATCAGGTACGGTCCGCCGTCCGAGCCTCCCTTAGACCCCCTCGCGCTGCCGCCGCTGCTGCCGCCCGTTCGGCTCTTAGACGCAGCTTGGTAAACCGCCTCCGGTTCTAGCGGCTTAGAATGCGCTTTAAGAACGTACCAGAAGCCCTGCTCTAGCCACGGCCGCGCCGCGGCCGCGAACCACTTAGCTCTGTGAAGCATCTCGGCAGCTTCGCTGCTGTTTCCGCCGTATCTGCCCGACTCGCACGTGTCGATCACGGATTGGATGGAATCTAGGGCTTGCAGGTACGCGTCCACGTGGACGCTCGAGCCTTCCCATAGGCGGAGGCTTGCTGTTGACGTGTCACTGGTCTGGGAGGACGCGGAGCGCGTGCTGCTGCGGGAGGAGGGTCGGCTGCTCGCGCTGCTTCCGCCGCCGTGTGATGACGCGTCGGAATGCCATTGGCGGAGAACGCGCTCAGCGTTCTGAAGGGCTGCTCGGGTAACGGTAGTTGAGGCGGTAACCATGCTGGGCGAACACGCACGAACACAGCGAAGAACTATGGAAAATCGTATCGCAGCTAGTAGTATAACTTTTTGAGTTTTTCAAAAAAGATGTGAAAATACGAGACACTCGGATTACGGTGTGTTGCCGCTAGAACTACGGGACTCTCGACACGCCACGTGTCGGTTTGTGAAAGGACGTACACTACTACGGGATTAACTGCACCTAATCGCGAACATAAGACAGACTAGAGCACTGCTAACTTCACGGGCTCGCAACACCGCGCGCCGATAATATTCACAGCACCGTTCTGCTTAAAATAACGTCGACAGAGCCGCTCGCTCGTCGCCTGTCATGCTACCATCGTTCGCTGCTATCCAGCACCGGCGAATATGCCAAGGCCATTACACACGCAGGAGTAAAGTCACTTGAGGCACGCGGGCCTAGCGGGTCAGTGGCAGGATGAAACTGTGAAATGCGAGAGAGGAATGCGAAGGGAGATGAAAGTGGAGGAAGGAGAGGAAGGCGGAGGTAGGGTAGGGATGTGTAAGGAGTTTTGCTAATTCCTTACTGAGGCACCGCTTACGCGTACATTTCCAATTTTCGGGCCAGTAGGTGTGGATGTTGATGCCTGACAAAAAAGACGGCCGAGGTCCGACAGCCGAGAACTGACGGACGGGACGTCATGGGACCATCAGAAACTCACAACACTTCCCGCCAGTCTTCAGTGGTGATCAGCTAGTTGCTAACTACACTTGGTTCGTGAAACACCTTAGATAGCCATTTATGAGCTCCCTAAACGTGTTTCTTCACAAGCGAATTATTCCAACTCAACCAGGGCAACTTCAGATACAATACTACAAAGCCGAGGTTCTACCACTCAAATCATCCATCCGTGCAACTCGTTTTTAAAAGGAACCCAAAATCACTGGGCGTAGTAACCCTGCTGATAGTACCCTGTTGTGGCACCAGCGGCAGGGGCGGCAGCAGCAGCTGGCGCGGCAGCATAGCCAGACTGGGGATACTGCTGTGAGAGGAGCAGGATGTGGGATTGGAATGAAGGCAGCACAGAATGCATTTGTGAGCAGAAAATATAACACACAAGACCCTACTACCTACCTGTGCCACACACCCTTTATGCTCCATACCTGTGCCACACACCCTTTATGCTCCATACCTGTGCCACACACCCTTAATGCTCCATCCCTGTACCACACCCCCTTATGCTCCATACCTGTGCCACACCCCCTTCTGCTCCATACCTGTGCCACACCCCCTTATGCTCCATACCTGTGCCACACCCCCTTATGCTCCATACCTGTGCCACACCCCCTTATGCTCCATACCTGTGCCACACACCCTTATGCTCCATACCTGTGCCACACCCCCTTATGCTCCATGCCTGTGCCACACACCCTTTATGCTCAATACCTGTGCCACATACCTATACGCTCCATACCTGTGCATATGTCTGCCCGTACGCCCCATATCCAGAAGCAGCAGCCTGGGGCGCAGCAGGAGCAGCAGCAGCTGCAGCAGGGGCGGCAGAGTAACCGCCGTAGCCAGCATAGCCAGAATATGCCTGCAGGGATGAACGGGGTCAGACCGAGACATGAAGAGCAGTCAGGCATGCAAGGCAGTACAGGGTGAACACAGGGAGGAGCGCGAAGCGAGAAAAAGTAGTCATCACACATAGCAACGAGCTCAGCATGCACGAAACCATTTCCAAACACCACCATTACACACCCCCCCAAGAAAACCCTGTCAACTCCCTTCTGCCCTCCCTTCTGCCCTCCCTTCTGCCCTCCCTTCTCTCCTCCCTACCCATCCACCCACACCCAACCCCTCCACCATCCCCCTCACCTGTTGCCCATACGCTCCCCATTGCCCCTGCTGGGCAGGCGAAGAAGCCGCAGCCGGCGCTGCAGCAGCCGCTGCAGGCGACGCCGGCGTTGCAGCAGCAGCAGCTGCCGGTTGCTGCCACGCGCCCTGCTGCCTCTGCCCCCCGTACCCCCCATACCCCCCTCCCGCCGCTCCACCGTAACCACCAGCGCCCGCAGCACCATAGTAGTTGGACGAGGGGGCAGAGGCGCGGTGGTGCTTGTACCCTCCGGAACGGTCGGGGTAGGAGGTGCCGTCTGGGTGGGTGCGCTTGCGCGAGTCGGCAGCGGCGGTGGTGGCGGCGGCGGTGGGACGCTTGAAGGGGAAGAGGGAGCGGTGGCGCGCTGCTGCTTGCTTCACTGCTGCTGTATCCCCAAAGAGATCCGCTAGCTGGGAGTGAGTGTGGGGAGGGAGGGAGCGGATGGGAGGGAGGGAAGGGAGGGAGGGACGGAGGAGGATGGTGGAAAAGGAGAGGAGGAATGCGGAGATTGTAAGGAAGAGGATGTAGAGATGACCTCACATGCAGGAAGAATTAGTGAGGTGGAGCAATTTAAGTTCAATCAACCCTCAAACTCGTCAGCCCTCCAAGAATTTTCCCGCACCTCGACGGCGATAGTAGAGATGTCCTCACGGTCAGCAGCGGAGAGCAGTGGTGTGTTATCCGCCTTCACTCTACCCAGTGCATCTGCCACCAGAGCTTCCACTCGCCCCATGCGCATCGACGGCGATGCACCCGGCAGCGACGCCTCAAAGGATATGGCCGCCTGGTGATGGCAGGATATGCAGCGGGGAGAGGGAAAGAGTGGGGCAGATGTGGAAAGAGGACACAATGAGATGATGAAGCTACTGGTGAAGCTATGATGGAACACACAAGGTAACTGCGACTACAATGAAACCGTGCACAATGCCACAATGGTACGTGGACCGGCCTGGCCAGTTACCAGCCAACCAGCCACAATGCCTGCAGGTCAAGCACGTACCACCAAACCCAGGTCATGTGTGCGCACCTGCCAGATGAGGTGACTCAAAATTCACCTCAGTTCATCATGTCTGCGCACCTGCCAGATGGTCTTGTTGTCCGGTGCAGCATCGATCGCTGCCTTGAATGCCTCGCGAGCCTTGTCTTCCTCTCCACCCACCTGCACCCCACCCCACCCCACCCAACACACACAACACACAAGACACAATGCAACGCCCATGCATGCATGATGCTCATTAGACACCATGGCCAAGGGCCAGCACTGAAATGCGCTCATGAAGATCTGCAGAAGCGGCCGTACGGTAACCGTGTGCTTATATGACGTGCAGCACAGGTCTTACAGTGAGCAGGTAGCGGGCGTGCTGCAGGTGCAGATAGGGCAGGATCTTGGATCCCTCTTTCTCCTTCTCCGCCTGCACTGCTGCTTCCAGCACTGCTGCCCCTGCCACTACACCAGCCTGCCAGAGCAAAGGAGGGGGAAACACTATCACTGACTGTCGGTGGAAACATGAACTGATGGACTAATTTAAAAAAAAAAAAAAAAAAAAACGGTGATTCCATCAGAAATAAACACACGACCTCCGCATTCTCCCAACCCAACTGCAACCCTCCTCAGTCACGCCACAATCATTTCCTGCCCTCCACTACCACGTCGCCACCTCACCAGCACCTCACCTGTCGTCTCTCCAGGTTGGCCTTCTGCACCGTCAGCTCCAGCAGGCCCGCTGCCAGCGATGCAGCCGTGTCCAGCGCTGACGTGGCACCCTCCACGTCCCCATGCTGCTCCTTGTACCGGGCGGCAAACAGGTGGATCTCCGGGCGGCGCTGCCAAGGAAGTGAAGGGGTGGAAGGAGGTGTGGAGCGGTGGCACGAAGACAACAGAAGTTGGAGCACAGGGACAGAATCAAAACTGGAGATATTCTAATGAATCGACTCAAAGAAGAATAAAATAGCATACTGTGACACATTCCAGATAAAGTACCAAGGCAAGCATTCCAGAAGTAACAAGGCAAGCATTCCAGAAGTAACAAGGCAAGCATTCCAGAAGTAACAAGGCAGAAGGACTCAACCTTTTGCACATGCTCTTTCTCCCCCTTGATAGGTCTCACCTTAACGAACACAGCAGTGGCTCTGAGCAGAGCATCCTTGGCTCTTTCATCCTCGTTATTAGCATCCATGCACTCCACATAGCGCACCCAGTACTCGGGGTAGTTGGCACACGGCACCACACAGCGCTCATAAATGTTGATCGTCTGATGGGGATGGCAGATCGGGGATCCAGAGATGTTGACATGGAAGTGTGAGACTTGAAGGCCGAGGGAGACACGACACCAAAGGGAGGGTTACAGCAACTCGTGTCAGGGTAGCGCATTCCACACAGGGCAACAGAGCCCGCGTAGTCATTGATAGTCTGACGACCCAAGGGTGGTGAGGAGTGGATGGGCAAGGGTGAGGTAGGCGGCGGTGGCAGGACAAAGATTGTGAAAGAGGAGGTGTTGTGAAAGAGGAGGTGTTGTGAAAGAGGAGGTGTTGTGAAAGAGGAGGTGTTGTGAAAGAGGAGGTGTTGTGAAAGAGGAGGTGTTGTGAAAGAGGAGGTGTTGTGAAAGAGGAGGTGTTGTGAAAGAGGAGGTGTTGTGAAAGAGGAGGTGGGGGGTAAACACGGGCTGGGAGCGACAGAGATGCAAACGAGAGGGGAAAGGAGAAAGGCAGACAATTGAATGTGCAGCAGCCTCTTGCTCCTTCCATGTTCCTCCGAAGTCATTCACCCAGGCAGCCTCAAACCACAGAGCACAACCACACTCACACACTACAACCGTTGAACAACCTTCCTTCCAGGTAGCAGTGCCAGTTGGCCAGCTGTAAGGTACTCTACCCGACCATCATGCCAGCACTCACCCTGCCTGCGCCTCAGACCCTCTCACTCACCCGTGCAATGTTGCCCTCCTTCTCGGTAAAATCCAAGTAGCGGTGCCAGTTGTTCAGCTGAGCCTCGTCCAGGGGCTTCACATGGAAGTACGGGCGTTTGATCACCACCTCATACTCCCGGATCTCCCCATCCCGCCGCTTGCTGCTCTGGTACATCACGTCCCTCAGCGCCAGGTACTCCGCCAGCTGCTGCTCCTCTGTTTTCGCCACTGGCACTGGCGCGGGCGCGGAGGCAGGCGGCGGGGCGGGGGTGGGGACTGCGGCAGGGGCGGCAGCAGGAGTGGCAGCGGGGGTGGCAGCGTCGCCAGGAGCAGCAGCATCGGCCATGGTGGTCTCTGCTCCTGGCGCAGCATCAGCACCCGCAGCAGCACCATCACCACCAGCAGCAGCGTCACCTTCTGCTGCCTTAGCCTCGCCCTCTCCCTCTTTCGCCTCCTCCGCGCCTGGAGCAGGGGTCCCGTCCTCCCCAGCGGGCTGGGCGGGGACGGCTGTCTGCACCTTGAGGGCGGCGGCAGCAGCAGCCGCCACTTCCGCCGCGGCTGCGGCGGATTCCTCAGGCGTGCGGATCTCGTCCAGTGTATGGGTTGTCGCGAAGTGGCGGAAGCTGCAGAGCGTGTGGGGCGAGAGAGGCACGGGGGGCGGGGGAAAGGATGCCGCAGGTGAGGAGGCACGTGCAAGCAGCCCAGCAATGGCGCCATGCCATCCCATGCACACGGTTGACCTCAACTCTTCCACTCCTCCCGTTCCCTCTGAGCACCCCTCCACCTCTCTCGCTCTCTCGTCTTCCCCATCCACTCACGCGTGGTAGTAGTGGTCGAGCTGCTGCAGCGGCACCTGCAGCATGCGCGTGTAGATGGCGGCGACCTTGCTCCACTCGGAGCGCGCGCCCTCGTAGTCCAGGTACTTCTGCCACACTGTGTGCGACAGGTAGTCCGTCCCCACGTACACCAGCGCGCGCTCAAACAGCCTGCGCGCACACACATAAGCACACACACGCGCGCGCACACCCCCCCCGCACATCCTCCCCCCTTCCCGCACCCCTTCCCCAACCCCACCCCGCAGCCCACCCCGCAGCCCGCCCCCGCCCTTCCCCCACACACCAGTACCGTACAGCACAAATGCGCATGGAAACAGGAGGTTTGTTAGGCGGAGGAACGGGGCGATCGAGCGGTAGGAGGGAAAGGGTGGGCAGGAAAAAGTTGGTGTGTGTATCGAGGGACACAAGGGAAGGAGAAGATGAGAGCTGTGTAGAAAACCGGAACCCCAGGCGAAACTTGGCACTCACAGCCCGAACCGAGCAACGAGGCTGCTTGTAAAGAGGACGGAAAGCGGATTAGCCAGACTGAATCGGACCAACGTCATTGCGCCTGTTTGCAGACCGACGGTCCACCGAGGGTTTCTTTTACCTCTTTCCTGCGCCAGCGCGGCCAATCGGATTCCTTAATCGTTTGCCTGCCCGGCTGCCCGTAAGAACCGCTAGGTGGTTAGGCGGTGGCCGATCTTAGACGCGGATTCGTTACAAGGCTCGGGAAGTAGGCGAGAGCAGATTTTAGACAGCGTGGCATCGATTAGAGTAAACGAATCAAGCGCGCCGAGGGGGGGAAAAAGAAACTCTACGCGACGAATAAACGATAGCTATAAAAGCATGAATAAAAGAAGGGCAAAACGTCGAAACGACTTGTTAAGGCAACGGGAATGGTGCCAGGGAGGACGGAGAGGGGAGGAGACGAGAGACACTGGGGAACGGGGGGGAGGGAAAGGAGTTGCTTCCACGCTCGCGCGGATCTGCATTAAACACAGGAGGAGGTTAGCGGCAGCAGAAGCAGCTGCGGCGACCAGCGAACGAACTACCAAAAGGTGAAAAGCTAGCGATAAAGAAGGTAGTGGATACGAAACGAGAGGGAATCGGCATACTCACACCCTGACGGCCTCGGCTGCGAGCCTTGGTGATGGGGTCACAGGAACCATGGGAATGAGGGTGGATAAGATTTAAGACTGCAAGTATCATAGACTAGGCGTATGCTTAAAACAGGCCGAATGCGTTCCGTTGTGCTCAAGGCTTGTAATCGAGGAAGAACGGAAGCGGCGGGACACGCGCCTTCGACGGACAGAACACCGAACAGGACGTTCGAGATTGATATAGACATATTGAGTGCGGTCGAGAGGGATTCGGATGTGCACCTGCGGATCTCCTCGGGATCCTCGACGGTGGCGGTGAGGTGGTTGACGTAGTGCAGCCAGATGTCGACGCTGTACGGCACGGCGGCGACGGCGCGCTCGAAGACCTCCAGCACGCGCTCCTTGTTGGCGTGGCGCTGCTCGTGGTCCGCGTACTTCTTCCAGTACCCGAAGCACAGCGGAAACTCCGCCAGAAACGTGTCGTACACTGCGCGCAGGTTCTCGAGCTTGTCCTGAAATGAACGGAAAAAAAGGGATATTAGAGCGTGGAATTGATGAGACATTTCTTCAGGCGAGAAACGACGACATTATTGATCATTTGTTAGATCTAACAAACGTATGGCGTCAGTCTGAACGAATAAATGTCAGCAATATATATACTAGGGAAAGGAAATGGGGGGAGCGGAATGTGGGGAACGGAATCGAAGAACAAGGCTCAAGGACCGGGTTTGTGGTATGGAGAACGTACCGATTTCTCACTTTCCTGAATGAGCGCGACCCACGACTCAAAGTCCCCCGAGTTGGCGCGCACCAGACCCCATAGCCGCTCCTCCTCCGTCGGCGCTGGCGGCGCCGCAGGAACTGCGATACGGGACAGACAGATGCAGCACGATGGACAGGCACAGATGCCGGATTAGTCCAGACAAAAGCACGCAATCATGTTACATCACCAGAGATCTGCTAAGAGAAAAAAGGGCATTTCTAGCAAATAGGTGATAAGAAGCGAAGAAGCGAATGCCTTCAAGGAACCTATGGCCGACAGGACAAAAGTCGAAGTACCTTCAGGGGCTGCAGGAGCAGCAACAGCCTCAGCGGCTGCGGTCGCTGCACCATCAGCAGCAGGAGCAGCAGCGTCGGCGGCAGGCGCAGCAGCATCGGCAGCAGGGGTTACCGCAGCGTCGGCAGCAGGAGCGTCGGATGCAGCTTCAACGGCAGGAGCAGCTTCACCCTCAGCAGCAGGAGCGGCTGCAGTGGCGTCGTCACCAGCGCCAGCCTGAGCAGCCGCGGCAGCAGCCGCCTCTTCCGCTGCCGCTTCCTCCTCCGCTGCTGCTTCCGCTACGGCCGCTGCAGCAGCAGCGGCAGCGGCTGCAGCTGCGGCCGCTTCAGCAGATCCGTTCTCTTCAGCCCCGTCTTGGGCCATAGGATCGTCATTCGCGGCTGCTCCGGTGTCCGCGGCTGCAGCTTCCTCGCCTCCTTCGCCATGCACGTCCATCTTCACTGGCTGGTCTTCTTCCGACGCCATGTCGCTAACCTTGCCCGAAGAAACGCCCTGATTATAAACCGAAATCTTTACAATAATCGGCAAGTATTAGAATCGTGGAGGTGGAAGAAGCGGGTAGTGTCGACACCTGTTAATTCCGATGGACCTGCTAAGGAGATAGACCAGCAGAACTAAAAACCTTGAAAATGGCGGACTCGTGCGCGGGTCTGGGGTTCGCTTTTGACCCTCGGATGTGATCCAGTTTCTGGATGTATTTGTTACGAGTGCAATTGAGTGAACGAACGAGAATTGCACTATCGAAGCAAGAGTACAATGAGCGAAAGCATGAGCTAAGAATATATAGCGAAACTACAGTGGTAACGGTAAATGACTGTGGTTGACGCGCGACGGGCCTGGGACTGAGGTTGGGAAAGTGTCGAAGCGGAGGCCCGGAGCACGGGTTACCCGCCGAGCCGTGAGGTCGGGGTGCGATGTGCGAAGGTGGGGGGCGGATTGTCGATGCGAGGATTGCGAGTGGTAACGGTGCTGACTGTGGTGCTACAGTGATGTACACGTTCAGGGACGCGAAGTAAGGAAAAGGGATTTTCCTTACACTACCCCCCCCACTAAGGAGGTCCGCCTTACGAGAGTGCGTGGACATCCCTGAAATTTCGGTTGCGCAGATACTCGGTGAGGACGAGGTGGTTTTCGATTCTGTCCAGGGGAACCCAATTGTCTTTGGTGGGTGTACGGTCCTTCCAGCGGAGTAAGAACTCGATCCTTCGGGCTCCTCGAGGGTCGCGAACTCTGTAACTCAGAATTTTCTTGGGGGTGATGATTGGTTCAGTCGGTGGTCTTGTCATGCTTGCTGGGCGATTGCGTGGCAGTTGGCTCGTGGACGGGACGTAAGGGCGAAGCAGGCTGACGTGGAACAAGGGGCTGACCTACCAGTCAGCAGGGAGGAGGAGGTGGGCGGTGACAGGTGTAAGCATGTGGCTTATGCGAAATGGCCCGCAATATCGGGGGCGGGGTTTCGGGGTGATGGACAGCCGGAGATTTTGGGTGTTGAGCAAGACTAAGTTGTCGGGCTGGTAAGTGACAGGTCTGCGGTGGTGGTCGACGTTGCGTTTAGCGATGATGTTGGCTTTTTTAATTGCGTCTGCTGCCCTGGTCCGTGCTGCTTGCAAAATTTCAGTGAATAGTTGCGCGCGTGGAACCGGGTTGTCGGGATTCTGGGTCATGGGTACTATTGGGTCTTGTCCGTAATTCAGGTAAAACGTGACTGTTGGGTCGTGGCGGATGGGGCGTTGTTGTATGCGAATTCGATGAATGGCAGTTGCTGTTCCCACGTTATTGGGTCGTCGCACGTGGCCCGGATGAGCTGTTCCATGGTCTGATTTGTCCGTTCTGTCTGTCCGTCTGTTTCGGGGTGGTACGATGAACTAAACTGTAGTCGCGTGCCGAACTGCTGCCACAGGTTCCGCCAGAAGTTGCAGGTGAATTTCGTGTCTCTGTCGCTGATGATTGATGCTGGTACCCCGTGCAGTCGAACGATGGTAGAGATGAAGAGGGGGGCTGTTTCTTCGGCTGTGATTGATTTTTTTCAAGCTGCGAAGTGTGCCATTTTCGTCAGTCGATCGACGACGACCAGGATCGCGTCATTTCCACTCGCCCCGGCCGGTAACCCCGTGACGAAGTCCATCGTCACCTGCTGCCAAGCACGCTCTGGAGGTGGGATTGGCTGCAACTGTCCCGCCGGCCGCTTCCGTGTTGACTTCATGATCTGGCAAGTGGGACACGATGCCACGTGTCGCTACACGTCGGTCAACATTTCGGGCCAGTAATAATACTGCTGCAGCTGCTGCCGTGTTTTCTCTGTCAGAATATTATGCTCTAGCCTGTAGTGGGGTGCTCCATAACGAGTACAACCCTTCTAGGGTTTGCTATTTGTATCCCCATTCTTGCTAGTTCAACCCTCTTCTTTCTTCTAAACTCTCACATGCTATCAGAGCAGGTCGATCCTCTTGGATCGATCCTGTGGGTGGGCTCACCACCTCGTTGCTTCCGCTGCAACTGCTACTGCTACTCTCTGTGCCGCACGCCCCGTGGCGTGCGGCAGTTTTTTCTTCCCGCCGTGCGCCCCGAGGCGCGCGGCGGTTTTCTACCCGCCGTGCGCCCCGAGGCGCGCGGCGGGCTTCTGCCCCGTCACTCGGCGCGTCGCCCTCGGGAGGCGCTGCGCCGAGCGACAGGGACCCGCGCGTCGGCCCCGTCGCCGCCCGCATCGACCACGTCGCCGCCCGCAGCGGGCCCATTGCCGCCCGCAGCGGCCCCGTCGCCGCGCGCAGCGGCCCTGTCGCCGCGCGCAGCGACCTCGTCCCCGCCCGCATCGGCCCCGTCGTTGCCGCCAGCGGCCCCGTCGCCGCCACTTGCGGCCCCGGCCCCGCGCCGGCCATGCCTCGTCGTCACCCGCGGCGCATCGGGGGCACGTGCACCGCCCCCCCACCCCCCCCCCCCCCCCCCCCCCCCCCCCCCTCTTTTCCCGTCGCCCGTCGCGGCTCCTTCGGGGGCCGCGACGGGAGGGGCGACGTGGGGGTGGGGGCGAGCGTCGCCCCTTCTGCCGCCTACTTTGGCGCCCAGGGAGGCCGCGCGTCGGCCCCCCTCTCCCCCCCCCCCCCCCCCCCCGTAACCTCCCTACCCGCCATCCCGCCCTGCCCTGTGTTCGGGTTTGGGGGTGGCGAGTGGGGGGTTGGCGGGTGTGTGGTCTCCCCTGCTCCTCCTCCTCCTCTGTCTCCCACTGCTGCAGCTGCCGCTGAGGGGGGTGGGTGTGTGGGAGTCGACGGAGTCGTGCTAGGGGGTGGGTTGTGAGTGACCCTAGGGGTGCAGTAGGGGGTGTGTGTCAGGGGGGGTGAGACTGTTTGGGAAGCTGAACGGAGGTTGCCTTCGTGTCGCCAGCAGCACCTGTAGTCCGGGGAGTTGCTCCGGTAGCCCAGTCGTAGCCACCTGTGCCAGTCGCTCGTGGGTCCGTTGCTCGTCTGCCGCTACTTTAGCCGCGGGGCCAGTTACTCCAGTAGTCCGGAGAGTTGCTCCGGTAGCCACTGTGCCAGTGTGCCTCCTGTTGCCCGTGTGTCTGCAGCTTCAGCCGTCGCCTCCTATCTCCTCTCCTCTCACACTCGCCTCCTCCTCCTCACTTGCCCTCTGCGATAGCCTCTAGCTTTGCTCATAATTGTTAACTTTCAACTATTGCTTCTTGAACTTGTGCTCAGAATGTGTGGTGACATTGTGATCCACCCTGAGCTTGTACTGCTTTGCTTGCTCTGCTGATTACACCCCACTTTGGCTATGGGGGTGTGTCAGAATATTATGCTCTAGCCTGTAGTGGGGTGCTCCATAGCGAGTACAACCCTTCTAGGGTTTGCTATTTGTATCCCCATTCTTGCTAGTTCAACCCTCTTCTTTCTTCTAAACTCTCACATTCTCAACCCCGAAGTGTCCCGAGGTAACCCCGTCGTGTGCCTCCTGTAATAGTAATTCCCGTAGCAGTATATACGATGGTACCCAGATGCGGTCGGTCCCGGCTTTTACGTAATAGACTCCCTTGGCTGCTGCGAACTGCTGCGAATTTCCTCCTGTGAAGAATGGGTCCGTTTGATATCCATGGGTAAATAGTCCTGTCAGTAGCGGGCTGGTCTGGGCGAGTAGTATCGCGTGGATCTTGGCAGTGGGGCGGGTCAGTGCTGTCAGAATGAGAAACGAGAATGATGAGTGACTAGCAGGAACAACAGTACAAATATGTCAAACCCTAATCTGGTGTACCCCTTATGGTGTGACCCACTACAGCCTAGAACCACACAAACATATAAATGTTTGACACACCCCCATAGGTAAAGTGGGGGAGACCTAGGGGTCACAAGACCAGTCAAGGCAAAACAAGGCAAACAAGCTCAGGGTGGATCTCGAGGATTCCACACAAATTCCGAGCACAAGCAAGAGGTCACAAGACCAGTTCACATGCAGTTTTATAATAGAGCAAGAGGTACAATGATCACAACCTAACAAGGCAAACATGCAGGTATATATATTATGATCACAGTACAAGTAAAGTCAGGAAGTAAGTAAGTGAGAAACAGTCGGCACAAGGCCTAGAAGAGTGCAAAAACGCTGATGGTCAACAGGCGGAAGCGCCTTGGTGAACACATCAGCAGTGTTGGCCTCAGTGGCCACGTAACGCAGAAGAAGCTGACCACGCTGCTGTAGCTCTCGAGCTAGAAAGTAACGCAGAGCAATGTGCTTCGTCCTGTGCTCCAGACTGTGCTCCTGGCACAAGGCAATGGTTGCCTTGTTGTCGACGTACAGCACTGGAGGAGAACGAGGCTGCTCTCCAAGGTCAGTCAGCAGGTAGGTGAGCCAGCGAAGCTCCTGGGCAGCCATGGCCGTGGCGTAGATCTCAGCCTCACAGCTGGAGCTGAGAACAGAAGAAGAACGAGTAGAACGCCAAGAGACAGAGCCAGAGCCAAGACTGAAGGTGTAACCCTGAGACGACCGCTGAGTAGCCTGGTCGTCTGCCCAAGAAGCGTCTGAGTGCCCAGTGAGAACAGGCCGGTCTCGCCCTCCAAGCACTAGCCCCATGCCCGACGTACTGCACAAGTAGCGCAACACCCTCTTAGCTGCATCCATGTGCTCCTTCCGGTGACGGCCGGGAGCGACATAGCGTGCTAAGATGCTGAGAGGGTATGCAAGGTCAGGTCGTGTGCAGGTCATCAGGTACATGAGGCAGCCCACAAGCTCTGGATACGGACCACTCGGCTCTACGGACTCATCCGAAGGCAGAGCTGAGAGCGAGTGTCCCGTAGGCAGAGGAGTGGACTGAGGCGAGGAGTACGTGAACCCGAAGCGCTGAAGGACCTGCTGCACCATGTGTGACTGAGTCAAGGTGATGGTGCGCCGTGCTCTGTCCCGGGTGATCCGCAAGCCAAGATAGCTTGTCAGTTCACCCAGGTCTGTGCACGTGTGTCTCTTCTGCAGCTCGGACTTCACGTGGGCGA